TGAACTCTGGGACACGATCTCTGTTAGTTCCTATAGTCAGTTCTGGTGGCCTGTGGGTGCAGAACTCAGCCTAGAGGGAAAAACATAATGTCTTGGTTGTCATTTTAAGAGCCTTTTAAATAAAATGCAGCCCTGACAGAGGCAAAATAATACGGATTTGCACTCTTCTCCCCTCAGAAATTTGGGTTGAACTCTGGGGCACCCTCTCCCTCTGCCCAGGGACTCAGGGTGTCTGTGTCATTGAACTGATCAGACCAGTGACCCCACCCAGAAAGCCCGACCCCCAGCCCCACAGCGAGTACCCAGAGGAATCCGTCATTCTCACAGGCACTGTGGAGGAGACGCAGCTGGCACCCCTGGTCCAGTTGTGAGGAAGTTCCCAGGAGTGGACAGTGCAGGGACCGGAGGGTGTGGGCAGGGCGTCCTCACCCCAGCTCAGGGGAGGCCCCAGGTAGTGTAGTGGCCTCCAGCCGCAGAACAGCCAGGCCCTTGGGGAAGAGTTGGTCCTTCTGTGTTATCAGCTTAAAATCACCTGGGGAGAGCTGTCAGGCACTGAAGTTATCTGCATCCCGGGAGGGAACAGAAATACCTTGTTAAGCATTACGTTACCCATCACCATGGCCTGAGGAATGTGACCCCTGTATCATAAAATGTGAGGTGAAGGGTTAGGGCAGAGTTCATGTCAAATCCTAGAATCAGCCCACCACAAATTCCCTCCATCTATTTAAGGACATTTTATTTTAAAATTGAGGTGACTGGAATGGGATGTTATCTTGTTAACTTGCTCCCTTCTGAAAAGGGGTGACATTAAAACTAAAGAAAGACCCTTGTTTTAGTTTCATGTAAAATGTGTTTCAGGAAGCTGTGGTCTCGCCACATATATTGGAAATGTGGAAATAAAACTGTGAGCGGCTGTGCATAGATTACAGGGTAGCAGGAAATAAACAAAATCATAAGCTAATCCCAAGGATAAGATTTATAACATGATTAATTAGCTTTAATAGGATTATTACACGTTGCCCTCATGTTCCCTTCCAACTGCCCGAGGCCCAAGCCAGCCCCTAGAGACAGTGGCACAGCTCTCCATGCCTGAGCCTGGACCTGCAGCTCCTGAACCATGTGAATGTGGAAAACAGTCTGGGATGTGGACACACATTCAGCCCCTTAGTCGTGAGAACAGTTCTGTCCAATGAAATGCTTGGATCCAGTTCGTGGGGTCAGGCCTTTGGTGGTGGGTGCCATCAGTAACGAGGCATTTCTGCAAGAACAATAAAAATAAAAAGATTGGAGCAAACCACGAGTGCTTTCATAATTCCCGAGGGAAGCCAGCGCAGAATGTTTCTAGATTAACACTGAGAAACGTGTGCTGGGGTGAGGGAAGTTTTTTTCTCTCCTGTGTGTAGCTTGATGCCATCATGTGTTTAGCAAACAGTGCGGCTAGTGGTACCCTCCTGGAGATCTCTAGCTGACATCCCACGCTCCCCATATTTGTGGTTTTAGTAAAAGATAGTTTTGTTTCAATCAATCAAAACATTGGGGGAACTCTGGAAAGATTAGTTGGGAAAGTCATAGTCAGATGTTGGGAAAATTCAGGAGCCATAAATTACAATTTACAGGTAAAAGCAGAAACCCCAAAAATTTAAGAGGATCAGAATCTGGTGTGCATGAGGTATTATTGCAATATTTTCTTTCTGAAGCTTCACTCCATTTCTATCACATAATTAAAGTAGAACTAATTTGCAAATAAAATTAGTTCCAATTAGTTGGACAGAAATTTTTGCACAAGCACAATTAGAAAGACTATAAACACATACTACTTAACATGTGCTTTGCTGGGGGTTCTCATAAATTTTCATTTATCAGAATGAGCTGTCGGCATCACATCCACCATGCCAGGGCCTCACCTCCAGAATTTCCCACAGGGCCTGTGGGTTTATGTATTTCCTCTCCTTGAGGTCCCAAAATGTTATGGGGCCTTAGGGGGTGCCAAGAGGTGACCACCTTTACCCTTTTCCTGATATAACTGAAACCTAGAAAGCAGGGCATTCAAGCTGTCTTCTTTGAAGGCTCTGAAATCTGGGGATCCTGCCTGCAGTCTGGTCTCCACAGGATGCTGCAGACAAGGTCTACAATTGTAGACCTTCATACAACCATGTCTACAATTGTTTCTTATGGAGGGGAATGAACAGCTTTACTGGATTAATGCAACTAAACACATTGCCATGAGAAATCACCATGGCCTGAGGAATGTGACCCATGTGTCACAAAATGTGAGGTGAAGGGTTAGCGCAGAGTTCCTGTCAGTTCGCTTTCTTGGATGCAGGGAGATAAAGCAAAGGGTTCAGTTCTGACATCCAAAGATACATTTATCATTGAACAGATCATAGCTAAGAAAAAAAGTTTTCTGGAAAAATTAAACACTAACATATTAATATTGTTAAAGTTTAGAAAACATTTTATTAGTCTTCCACAGTTCATTCAGCACCATATAGTAAATTTCAATACCTTGTTAGTTGTTTTGTAAGCCTAGTTTTTCTCAAAAACTTTGTAATTATTCATCCTCGTTTCCTTGAAGAACCTGTTTTTCTAGATTATCTGTCAGAGTCTTTCTTCTCCTGTGAATCGCTCTGCTACAAGCAGAGTGAATAGTGACTTCTGTAAGTGGCACAGGACTTTAACATAATTAAAATTTGATTACAACCCAATTGAGAAGGAAGATTGCTCAGTTTATAACATACAGTGCTTTAGCCTAAGGAGACTGACGAGTAACATTATATCAGAACATAGACTCCGGGCCCCTGATGTGTAGCATATGCGTTAACATGCATATCCATGTTCTTTCTTTCTTTCTTTTTTTTTTTTTTAAAGATTTATTTATTTATTTATACAAGCACTGGGTATAGTCAGAAGCGCGGGAGGGTGAGAGAATTCACCAGAGCCAGAGTGGGAAACAGAACAGCCAGACTGACGAAGTACACCGCTGAAGGGAGCAGCGGGCGCGGCAGGAGAGGTCTGTGCGCCATGTGGGACCCTCACTGGCAGCCGGGGATCGAACCGGCGCTGCAGAGGCTGCGGGCAGCTTTGCAGTCCAGTGCTCAACCACTGCGCCACCAGGGGAGGCCCATATCCATGTTCTCAGTTTAGCACTTCCCCTGACGTGACAGTGCTTCTGCAAAGGCTCATCCTTTCCAGATGGGTTTGAAATTGTTCAGTATTCTTTGCATGTGAGAACAACGTGAGGGGGCATCCAGGAGTCCCTCCAAGATGACCCCTATTTTCTTTTCTTTTTAATAATTAAAAGCTTTATTTTATAACTTGGTTTTTGGCCATGTAAGTCCACAAAGAACTTGGTGGGTGGCCTGTTTGAGGGAAAGGTACTATGTCCATGAACTTCTGCTCCAATGTACTTTTAACACACCAAGGAGCAGTTTCCTGCATGGTCAGAAACAAAGGTTCCTGCAGGCTGTACCCGTGCCCTCTACTCCTGCTAAGGCTTTTTGGAGTGGGAAAGTAACCATTGAAATAATAAGGAAGGGTGTCCCCCTGGCTAGGACTGCTTCCTGATTATCTCCAAGGGCCTGCTGGTACCAGGCACCCTTCCTGGCCTAATCCGGGAGGTCTCTTTGTAACCAACCAAAATGAAGATTCCAACCCATATCCTGGGGGAGCAGCCATGTGTTAAGACAGAGGACTTTATATCTACCTTTTCATTGTCTCGCATTTGTCAAAGCTTCAGAACAATTTTTTTTTTTTTTTTTAAAAACTAGCATGATTATTTGGGGGAAAAGAGACACAATTCCTGTTGCAGCAAAGCACACACAGGTGGTTCCCTATTCCCCTACAGAGACTGGGCCACGGAACCACATACAAAGTCTGCAGTTCACCAATTTTTTACAGGTTGGTAGAAAACTATTAGTACTCTCCTGGAAAATGAAGAAAAAGTAAGGAAAAAAATAAAAATGGTATATTAACATTTGAAAAAGTTTCTCCACTGTAAATCAAAGAAAACACCAATTTGAACTATTGAACTTGATTTTCAAATTGACAAAAATATGGCTGGTGCCCTGTTCTCCCAGATGAGGGGAGGTAGGTCTTGTTGGTAAAGAAAAAAATGGTGAAAAAGAAATAAAAATCCACTCCAGAAGCCAGGGGGAGAGTAGTTGTTAAGCTGTAAAAATACTCAGACACTTCTGTCCATTCTTTCTGGCGGCAGCAACGCATCGGGAAGAGACCAGCAGAGACGCAGAAGGAGTCTGGACAGGCTGAGGTCCTGTGGCCCCACCTAGGGCAGGGCCTCCGGGTTCACCCTCCTCCTGGCCTTCCTGTGCTCGCCTCCGTGTTCCTGACATCAGCCCTGAGCTTTCTGGGTCCTCAGTGGGCTTTTCATGATGAGTTTTCAAGCCTCATTTGAAAGTAAGTTGAGAGTTTTTATAACGACAGGTCATCAGTGGTGAAGTCTCAAGGAGAGGGCATTGGGCTAAGCCAGTGAGATACTGTCTGGCCCTCGTGTGCTCCGGGGCTGCGAGTCTGGGCTGGTTCCGAGGCCCATTCCTAAGGGAGCTGAGCCTGGTGTGTCACTTGCCTCAGGGGGTTTCCTGAGCAAGGAGAGAAGCAGCCTGAAGCCCTGGGCTCTGGGTGTGCATGATGTTGAGTCCTGGGTGCTCAGTGCTGGGTGTCCCAGAACACCTGAGTGAGGCTCCCTGTAGATGAGTCTTTGCTGTGTACCTGCCACCCCCATGATGGGCCCAGGGCCTCCGGGGCCCACAGTTGGGTGCTTCCCCCAGGGGTTGCTGAGGCTGATGGGTGACAGTGAGCCAGGCAGCTGCCCTTTTCCCTGGTGGTGGGGTGACCCGGGCTGAGCCAGTCCAGGACAGGTTTGACCATGGGGACTGAGGCCCTCAGGTCAGGGAAGGCCCGGAGGGCCTGGGTGGGACGGGCTCCCAGGGGATGTAAAAGGGGCCCCAGAGGAAGTGGACTCACACCTCCCTGACTGCAGCACTATGGCCTTCCTCTGGTTTCTCTCCTGCTTCATCCTCATCGGGGCCTCCTATGGTGAGTATCTGAGGGACCAGTTGGGCTTGAGAGGAGACTGGGGAAGAGAGACCTCAGTCCCCATTGGCTGCACCAAGGCGCTCTCTGGAGGACTCTGGAGATCTGTACGGCATGGTGTCTGGTGTCCAGCCCACGGGAGCATCCCTGGGAGGGTGACTGGCCAGCAGGCAGGGGTGTGTGTCTTCCAGTCTGGATGCAGGGGTGCCAGGAGGGGGGAGTGTGGATGTGGTGCTGTGCTGGCTGAGGGTCAACCAGTTTTGTGCAGACTGACTAGACCTCCACCCTCTCACCCTCCCCGCTGTGACCCCCAGGCTCTGAGGCCCCTGCCAGCGAACCAGAGCTGAGCATTAAACCAAGGATCATCAATGGTGTGGGGGCTCGTCCTGGCTCCTCCCCCTGGCATGTGTCTCTGGAGGTGAGGACCATCTGCACCTGAGTTGTGTCTCACTGGTTTACCGGCTCCTGAGAGGGTGGGGCTGCTACAAGATTGTTGTGACTATTGACTGATTTTCTTCCAACAGTCTCCCTCTGGAGGACTCCTCTGCGGGGGCTCCCTGATCAGCCGGAACTGGGTGATCACCGCCGCCCACTGCCCTGTCATGTGAGGCCCAGGAAGGTCCTAGGGACACGGGAGGGGACAAGGGAGGTGGTCTCCTCCTGAATCCTTACCCACCTGCTCCCCCTAGGACCTCTGACTGGGTCGTGGCTGGGATGTTTGACAGACGTGCATATGGGAATAAAATCCAATACCTAAGGATTGCCCAGGTAAGCAGGCCCAGGGGAATTGGAGGCTGGGGTGAGGTTGGGGGCAGATGCTGAGAGGAAGACCCTTCAGCTGCAGGGACAGGAGCAGCAGATGGGCCTCAGTTCTGCTCTCCCATAATCTTTGTCTCTGAAGGGAATTGTTCCCACCAGGAATTCATTTGTCTCACCTCATGCTCCTGATCTTCACCCACAGATTTTTAAGCACCCTGAGTACCACCACAGCACTTTCTACGGTGACATCTCCCTGTTGAAGCTCGCAACCCCCGCTGACTTCCACCGCTTAGTGTCCCCTATTGCCCTGCCCAATGTTGATGACAGGTTCTCTGTCAGTTCCCAGTGCAAAATTATGGGCTGGGGGCTTACCCACCCTAATGGTAAGTGACCATGGCCTTACTACCCAGGACGTGGGTGTGAGGTTGGGCCGCTAGAACAGCAGGTGGGACTCATATGGCTGTGCTTTGTGGTTTTGTCCAAATCCAAACTCTCATAAATGTGTCAGATTCTTTACTACAACCTGCTATGAAAACCTTCCCAATGTGCATGGACACGAGGTCCACGATGGCCTTGAATGGTCAGTTCCTGCAGACACAGCTTAGCCCCAGCCGGCCCTGCCCCGCTCACTCACACCATCAGTCTTTGGCTCCCTGATCAGCCTGGACTTGCTGCAACCATGAGTGGGCGGGATGTAGCCACATCGATTTCTTGCTGGTGGAGGGGTTTCCTGGTAAAGGTCCTGAGTTCCAGCCTGGCATCCCCTCCCCATGGTCGGTCCAGCCTGATGGTCTCCTCCAGCATCCTGAGTCCTTCTGCCAGGCCAGGGAGCAGCTGCCAGGAAGGGGCAGTCAGAAGGGAGAACCCTGTCACCCCACAGTGGGGTCTCCAGTCAGAAGGATGTCAGTACCCTTTCCTGGGGAAGAGGGTGCTGCCCCTGAACCCCCCACACCCGGGCTGGCAAGACACAGGCCACACCAGGCTGGGCAGGCAGGGCTTGTGTTATCCACTGTGCTAGGAGGAAAGTCAGCTGGGCCTGGGGTGGAATCAGGAGGGACATGTCCCTTTGAGATTTCTAAGTTCTCTTGGGGTATAGGCCTTTGGTCCTGCACCCTGTTCTTGCTGTAGGAAGAGGGGAACAAGGGATGATTGTACTTGGGGTTCCTGGTCTATATCACCCAGGTTGGCTTGAGGGTGAGGGGCCTGACTCGCCTTGATCCTCTGCCTCTACAGAAACCAAGAAACCTGACAAGCTGCAGGAGGCCACCGTGCCCCTCCTGACTTTTGAGGAGTGCAAGAAGCACTGGGGCCCTCAGATCACCTATGACATGATCTGTGTCGGGGGCAACGGCGTCTGCTCCTACCTTGTATGTTTGCTCTTCCCTCTCCCCTCACTGACTGTCCCCCAGGCAATGGAGGAGTCCTTTCCTCAGCCCCATCACCTGCTTTCCTTGATTTGTGCCCTGGGAATCCGGGACCAGTTCACAGTCGCCTGCAGATGACCTGCTCCCCAGGCATCGGGGTGCTGTTTTGGGGGGTTTACTCTCATAGGCACCTCCTGTTGAGATATCTCTATCTTAACTGATTTAAAGGCCATATTGCCAGCTCCCACCTTCTCCTCTTCCCGCCCCCCCAGCTGGAGGCAGAGCTGGGGTGATGTTTGAAATAGAATTTCTCTGTTCAAAAACAGGACCCTCCCGGTATTTCTGGGATCCTCATGCGCGGGGCAGGTTGGGACACATCTGGGGTTGACCAGCACTTCCAGTCTTGCATTCTGGTCCCTTCTCCTCCACAGGGTGATGTTGGTGGCTCCCTGGCCTGCAAGAAGAATGGAGTCTGGACTCTTGTAGGCATCATACTTTATGGCAGCAAATCCTGCCCCACTGGACGTCCTATGGTGGCCCTCAGTGTGCGTAATTTCCAGCCGTGGATTAAAAGTATGGTGGCTCACCACTGAGCCCTCATCCTCCCATCCCGGCGCCCTTTGACCCCAATAAAAGCCTCTGTACAGAAGCCCTGACTGCTTGTGTGTCTATGACCTGGGGGAGGTGGCTGCAGTGTCCCTGTCACCCACCAAGGGGCAGCACAACCCTTCCCTTTCCAGGCTGCAGAGCCCCAACTGCCCTTGTTTCTTAGGGCTGAGGCCTTTGCATGTGGTCCTCCCTGCTCAGGAGGCCCTTGGTGTAGAGTCCAGGACCACCAGCTGCAGCCTCATTTCTCAGCCTGGTTTTTGCTCCTTGGCAGCTGGATTGGCCCAGGGAGCTTTGAGGAAACCAGGAGTGCTCCAGGCCCGGCCACGCAGTCCTCTTCCCTGCAGGATGGACGCCCTGATGAGGGCCACCCAGGCAGACTTGTCCCTCTCAGCACCCCGCACAGCTCCAGGAACCTTTCTCTGCCTTGTCCTCCCTGCCCCCCTTACCCCAGACCACACATGCAGTCTCCACCCTTCCTGCCTCTACCCAGGTCCTGCTCACTCACTCTGAACTGAGGAGCTGGGGAAGCTTCCTTCCTGTCCCAGGGTCTGAACCACTGTACTGCAAGACCCCATGTGTCCACTATTTTTTCCTTTGATTTGGTAGCTGCTAGTAGAGACTTGATCAGGCTCATGTCCCGCAGCCAGGCTGCAGGGGCTGGCCTCCTGCCTGGAGGGGTGAGGCCTGCTTTCTCTATCTGTTGGTATCACAGGCTTTGATGCCTGAGGCCTGGACTGTCATTGTCGGGCTTGTAAATGGGGGTAACTCACTCAATGTCCCTGTCATTTGCTGTAAGGACAGTTTTCATAGAGAAGTGTCCTCACCTGTCACTCAGTGACCCTGGCACAGTGTATAGAACATGAGTGGCCTCTGTACCAATGTGTGGTTTCTGGAAGGCCTTAGCTTTCTCCCAGTGACTGACTGGAATAGGACATGCTCTACCATCTTGAGTGCTTCCCTCTGGCCACACATGCCTTGGCCCTAGCTGGTCCCCAGGGAGAGGATCTCTGTTTCCTGCAACCTGGACTTGAGGGTCACACTGCTGGAGACCTGTGGGGTTCAGAAGGGACCTGTGGGGAAAGCACCCTCCAGGGTTGTGCTTTTTGTAATAAATACTGACCTGTCAGAGAGGAGATAGTAGGGATTTGCTCTTCTCCCCTTCAGAGATGTGGCTTGAACTCTGGGGCACCTTCTCCCTCTGCCCAGGGACTCAGGGTGTCTGTGACACTGAACTGATCAGACCAGTGACCCCACCCAGAAAGCCGGACCCCAAGCCCCACAGAGAGCGCCCAGAGGAGTCTGTCACTCTCACGGGCACGTGGAGGAGACGCAGCTGGCACCCCTGGTCCAGTTGTGAGGAAGTTCCCAGGAGTGGGCAGTGCAGGGACAGGAGGGTGTGGGCAGGGCGTCCTCACCCCAGCTCAGGGAAGGCCCCAGGCAGTGTCGTGGCCTCCAGCCGCAGGACAGCCAGGCCTTTGGGGAAGAGTTGCCCTCTTCTCTGTTAGCAGCTTAAAACCACCTGCAGGGTCTTATCAGATAAGTTCCTCTGGCTCTGAGCCTTTCTGCCTGTCCTGGTAGGGAACAGAAATACCATGTTAATCATTAGTAGCCTTTTACCATGGCCTTGACAGAACGTGCTGCACGTAAGCGAAGCTGCCTGCTGGAAGGTTAGGGCAGAGTTTATATCCAATCATCTGCTGAGGCTCCCAAAGTTCCTCCTTCTATATAAGGAAATTAAAAAAATGTTTGTTGGATGGGAATGGGGCGTTATTTGTGACGAGGAAGGTCCCAGGAATGCTCCAAGTTGTCCCTTCTTTTCTTTTGAAATAATTCAACGCTATTATTTTATGAATGTTTTTGGCCAGCTTTAACACAAACAGAAGCTTGTCAAATAATACTTTATTGCCCAGAGGAAGAAAGACTCTAAGAGCCAAATTTTCCTCTGACAACTGCGCTTGCTGACAGGACTGGGTGTCTCTCTAGCTGCTCACGCCTGAGGGGAGAAGAGCACCCGAGGGGGAGCTTCCTTAAGCTCTGACCAGGCTGTGCACAGTGTCCAAGGCTTTCCTTCCTCGGCAGATGAGGGGGTCTGTGTGGAGTCACGTAAGTGCACGTGAGCTGTGGCTTCCCCTGTGTGGGTCTCTGCTGCCCTCCTGGTGGTAGACCTTAGGGGAACCACACCCTTCTGAGAGTCCTCGGGGATTTTCCAGCTTGACCTCCTCAAGCTCATGTCTGAATCCCTTTCTGAGCTTCCACACGCACCACCCCCTCTTCCCATACAGCGCTGTTCCCCTTAGGGTTTTCATTTCATAGTTTCCTTAGACTTCGTACCCCTTCACACCTTGTTTTTCCAGAAGAGATGGGAGACTGCTCAGGGAGGATGAAAGGAGCCGCTCTGCCTGGAGTGACCTTTGTTCCTCTGTCATCAAGACTCAACATCCAAGAGACTAGTTTCAGCTTCTCCTGGGGGGCGGGGAGGAAGTGCCCCCATTTCAGTCACTCGCCACCTGAGCGCCTCAGCCTGGAGCTGAAGTCTCTGTGAGAGCAGAGGGTAACCTGTCCCTCCCAGACCACCTGACAATTACCTAATAAACTAAGGACCTTCAGCCATGACAGGTGGTGCAGCCCAGGAGGGTCTCCTGGTTCCTGATTGCCCAAGGGCCTGCTGGGAGCAGCTGCCCTTCCTGTCCTGATCCAGGAGGGCTTGGGGTTTCTGGGCCCATCATGTGGTCCCTGCTGTGAACTGCAAGTGAAGTCTCCATGGTAGTTAGACTGAGAGCTTTCAGCTAATCCAAGTGAGGATTCCAACCCTCATGCTGGGAGAGCAGTTCCCTGGGGGCCATGTTTTAAGACAGAGGATTTTAACTCCATCTTTTCACAGTCTCATGATGACTTTATTTGTCAAAGCTACAGAACCAGGTCGCACACACAACGGGCCCCAGCCTCTCTGTCCCCTGAAATGTGGCAGAGTTGGCCTTCCCCACAGATGGGGTCTGAGCCCCAGGAGACTCTTTCCTGGTCAGAGACTTTCCCCACTGAAAAGAGGGGACTCCAGCACAAAACTGAATTTACAAAGGACAGAACAACAACTGAAGAAATGGAGTTCAAGTCAAGGCTGTCATATTTTCACTAGGACAAGTTTTTGAGCTAAAAGTGACGTGGTTATTCCAGAAGCAGCAAAGCACACACAGGTGGTTCCCTAGTCCATACAGAGACGGGGCCACGGAGCCACATAACAAACTCTGAGAGATCACACAAGTCACAGGTTAGTAGAAAACTATCCTAATGGAAAATGAGCAGGAGGTAAAATAAATGAGTGAAAACTGAAAATAAACAACTCCATTACCCAGCAGGAACTAGGAATCAGAGCTGCAAAAATATTCAAATAGAGAAAATGGGGGTTAAAAAAGAAATAAGCTACTCAAGTGCTCTGTCCAGTCTTTCTGGCTGCAGCAATGCATCGTGAAGACCCCATTGTGAAGACACGCAGGAGGGGTCTGGACAGGCTGATCCTGTGGCCCCACCTAGGGCAGGAGCCTCCCGGGCTCACCCTCCTCCTGGCCTTCCTGTGCTCGCCTCCGTGCTCCTGACATCAGCCCTGAGCTTTCTGGGTCCTCAGTGGGCTTTTCATGATGAGTTTTCAAGCCTCATTTGAGAATAAGTTGAGAGTTTTTATAGCAACGTGTGATCAGTGGTGAATTCTCAAGGAGAGGGCATTGGGCTAAGCCAGTGAGATACTCTCTTGCCCTCGTGTGCTCCGGGGCTGCGAGTCTGGGCTGGTTCCGAGGCCCATTCCTAAGGGAGCTGAGCCTCGTGTGTCACTTGCCTCAGGGGTTGCCCTGAGCAGGGAGAGAAGCAGCCTGAAATCCTGGGCTCTGGGTGTGCATGATGTTGAGTCCTGGGTGCTGAGCTCTGGGTGCCCCAGAACACCTGGGTGAGGCTCCCTGTAGATGAGTCTTTGATGTGCACCTGCCACCCCCATGATGGGCCCAGGGCCTCCGGGGCCCACAGCTGGGTGCTTCCCCCGGGGGTTGCCGAGGCTGATGGGTGACAGGGAGCCAGGCAGCTGCCCTTTTCCCTGGTGGTGGGGTGACCGGGGCTGAGCCAGTCCGGGACAGGTTGAAGCATGGGAATTTGACCCTCAGGTCAGTAAGGCCCAAGGGGTCTGGGCGGGACTAAGGCTCCCGGGGGATGTAAAAGGGCCCCTAGAGCAAGTGGTCTCATACCTCCCTGACTGCAGCACCATGGCCTTCCTTTGGCTTCTCTCCTGCTTCGCCTTCATTGGGGCCTCCTACGGTGAGTTTTAGGGTCATTGGGAACTGCTGGGCCTGGTAGGAGCCTGAAGCCCCTGTTGGTTGCACATCAGGCCTCCTCTGGAAAACTGAGGCATTCTGTTGGGGGTGTGATTTGGAGTCCAACCCTAGGGTGCATTGAGACCCTTCCTGTCCCCTTGGCCTCAGTGTAGGCCGTGCACGTGAATTTGCAGGAGGAGAGCGGCTCTTCGGGACATTCTGAGTCCTCACAGTGGTGACATGTGTGGTGCAGAAACTTGTGGGCTTCAGAGGATGGAGCCCAGGAAGTGGCTCAGGTGTGGCCCAGAGGGTCAGTAAGGGGGTGGGCACGAGAAACACCCCAAGTACTCTTCCCTTGACTTTCTTTATTGCCAGCACTTCTAGTAGTTGCTTTAATAAGAACAAAGACACAAAGAAAAATATATAATATCCATGCATCTCTGCTCAGGATTTAACAAACATTCGATTCTCCAGTTATTCTTAGGGATTCTCTGACACCCACACTGGGCTCAGCAGCTCCCTGCTCCCCCCTCCCCTGGGAAGGGGCCTCTGCTGAGCCCCTGCCTGTCACTTCTGTGCAGCTTCACACACTCACTCCCTGTTTATAACCAGAACCAGGGCTCAGCGGGGGAAGCTCCTTCCTGTATTTCCTGCCTGTCCCTGTCACACCTGCTGGCCCCACTCCTGTGAGATTTCAGGCTTCTCCCTGCACAGGGGACCCGGCCCCCCACTCCATTGCTATGAAGCCTCTGCAGGGTGAGGGCTTCACAGCTATTGCTAATGGTTTAATTGTCATTACAAAAAAGATGAAGAGACGGCATGTTTGGAGACACCAGCTTGAGGGAGTGACTGGGCCATGTCCCTGTCCTCAGAGGCAGGGGCAGGTGCTGCCTGGAGCAAGGCCTGGGGGACCCTGGGGGGAGGGGTGGCTGGCTGGTAGAAGGAGTTGGGCCTTCCCCCCTTTCTTCCTGTGGCCAAGTTCTCACACCCCTGGGAGCTGCTGAGGATCCTGTGTCCTGACCCAGCCAATGTGTCTGCACATGTCAAGGACACCTGTCTCTCCCTGTTATTCTGGAAAATTCACGTCACTTGTTTTCTTTTTCTCTGATGTGTCTCTTCGTTGTTAGGATCAATGTCCAATGTTTTTATATAATTAATAAGGAAACTTATGCACAAGGACTTTCTGAAATTCTGGAGTAAAGAATCTAGAATTTTAAATGGATACACCTGATATTCCATTAGTCAAGAATTATGTAGGGTATGTCTCTTGAACTGGTTTCTCTGTTTTAAATTAACCCCTCCTGTCCACACCCATCTCTTTGGTGAGCATTCCCTGTGAGGTGGGCAGTGTTTGATCCCATTTTTTTTTAAGATTTATTTACTTATGCTTACAAGAGCTGGGATATAGGTCAGAGGTGTGTGTGTGTGTTGGGGGGGGGGTGAGAGGATTTGTTATAGAGCAACCCCGATATTGAACGGGTTCCTGGCTGTGGGTCCTCACCCGCGCGCTTTAAAGGGAATTAGGAATACTCCACTACAGACACACACAAAGGTTAATAAAAGGTTTATTTACAAGAGAAAAGGAAATAAGGAAAATGTACAACTCAGGGAGAAAATAGGGAAATAAAGTCTTTAATGCGTCCTACCCGATCCGCCGACCTGGAAACCCAAAGTCACTCTCAGAGCTGGCCGGACGCTGTGAGCTGGTGGAGAGCCAAAATGGGGGACCCCCAAAGCCCACGTGTCTGCCTTTTATATCCACCTGGCTGCTTAACCCCACCCTCAGGTCCCAGCCACCTTCCCTTGGGTGGTGATGGGATTTGGAGTTCCCAGTGTCTTTGGCTTTGGTCTGGGGTGGGGGTGGAGTCCACAAAGCCTGTATGGAATTTGCTTTGGGACATCCTTTTCCCCCTAAGATTCACCAGAGACAGAGTGGGGAACAGAACAGGCAGACTGACTGAAATCCACTGCTGAGGGGAGCAGCGGGCGAGACAGGAGAGGTCTGCTGTGCCATGTGGGTTGCTCCCTGGCCGGCTGGGGATCGAACTTGTGCTGCAGAGGCTGCGAATTGCTTCATAGTGTGGTGCTTAACCCCTTGTGCCACCAGGGAGGCCTTGATCCCCATTTTGTGGGGAAAATAAGGCTGGGAGACACAGAGGGGGCTGATGTCTGAGCAGGGAAGCGAGGAGCAGGGACCCTGAATCCTCAGCCTGTTTCTGCTCCTCTGGGTAGGGTGACCCGGATGGAGCCACCTTCTCTCTGCATCCCTGGGAGGGTGGCTGGGTCAGAAGTCAGGGGTTTGTGTCTTCCAGTCTGAATGCAGGGGTGCCAGGAGGGGGCAGTGTGGGTGCTGTACGGGCTGAGGGTGCCACCAGGTTTGTGCAGACTGACTAGACCTCCACCCACTCACCCTCCCCCTGTAACCTCCAGGCTCCAGGGACCCTGCCAGCGAACCGGAGCTGAGCATTGTACCCAGGATCATTAATGGGAAGGACGCTGGTTCTAGCTCCTCCCCCTGGCATGTGTCTCTGGAGGTGAGGACCGTCTGCACCTGAGTTGGGTGACACTGTTTTACCTGCCCTTGAGGTGGTGGGGCTGCTCCCGAGATTGGTGGCTGGTGTGTATCACTTTTGATGACATTCTTCCAACAGAACTCCTCTGGAAAGCTCATCTGCGGGGGCTCCCTGATCAACCGGAACTGGGTGATCACCGCCGCCCGCTGCAGAGTCAGGTGAGGCCAGGAGGGCCTTGGGCCTGGGAGGGCTGTGGTCGGGTGCATCAGCCTTACCCATGTGTTCCTCTAGGGTGTATGACTGGGTTGTGGCTGGGCTGCATGACCGACGCGCATATGGGAATAAAATCCAATTCTTAAAGATTGGCAAGGTACGCTCCACCCTGCTGGGTCTGCCTTGGGGGCTCCATGAGGGTTTAGGGGCAGGAGCAGAAAAAAAGACCCTTTGCCCGCAGACACAGAAGCCAGCAGAGGGGCTTTGTTGTTCTCTGGGTCTCCCCTGATCTTTGTTCCCTAAAGGGGCCATCTGGAATTCATCTGTCTCCTCTCATCCTCCTGGTCCCACAGATTTTTAGGTACCCCGAGTTCAACATCAGCACTTTCTATGGTGACTTCGCCCTCTTGAAGCTCATTACCCAGGTGAACTTCCAGCGCACAGTGTCTGCCATTGCCCTGCCCAGTGTGGACGACAGGTTCTCTGCCGGTTCCCAGTGCAAAATTGTGGGCTGGGGACATACCCGCCGCCATGGTGAGTGATCTTGGTCTTACTACTCACTCTTACTACTCACTTGGCCTTACTGCTTACTACTCCCTGGAGTTGGAGGGCTAGAACAGCAGGTGGGACTCGTATGGCTCTGGTTATTGCTTTGTCCAAATTCAAACTCTCATATGTGTCTGTTTCTTTGCTAGAAACTGTTATGAAAACCTACCCAACACGGGTGGGCATGAGTTCCACGGTGTCCTTGAGCTGTCAGTTTCTGCAGACACAGCTCAGTCCCAGCAGGCCCTGCTCACTCACCTCCCAGCAGGCAGCAGTGGCACCCTAACCAGAGGACTTGCCCCAGGCCAGAGTGGGCAGAGAGCAACTTTCATCCAGACCTGGTTAAGCAGGGGCCACCAAGGCTGGTTTAGGCCCCTGTTTATAACCAGCCCATCCTCCCCAACCTGGACTGGCTCTGCCTGATGGTCTCCTCCCAGTCCTGAGTCCTTCTGCCCAGGCCAGGGCTACTCAGCTGGTCCTTCCACAGGACAGCAGCTGCCAGGAAGGGGCAGCGGGGAGGGAGCTCCCTGTCACCCCAGAGTGGGTTTTCTCATCAAAAGGATGTCAGTCCCCCTCCCTGGGGACAAGATGCTGCTCCTGAGACCGCCAGACCTGGGCTGGCAGGACCAGGCCACACCAGGCTGGGCAGTAGGGCTTCTGTCATCAAAGTGCTCGGAGCTAAGTTGCCCCACCTGGGGTGGAATCAGGAGAACGTATCCCTTTGAGGTTTCTAAGGTCTAACAGGGTATAGGTCCTGCACCCTGGTGCTGCTGTCGGAAGTGGTGGTGGTTGTGGTGGGGGAACAGGGATGACTGTATTCAGGGTCCCTGGTCTTCTTCACCCAGGTTGGGCTCAGAGGATGACAGTCTTCACTCCCTCACCCCTCTGTCTCTACAGGCAAGAAGAGACCTGACAAGCTGCAGGAGGCCACTGTGCCCATCCTGAATAAAGTGGAATGCCAGGAGTACTGGGGCCACAGGATGAGCAGCGACATGATCTGTGTGGGGGCCAACGGTGTCTCCTGCTGGAAAGTATGTGTTCTTTATTTTATTTTTTTTTTGGACACTTGCTGGTGGCCGGGGATCGAACCTGCGCTGCAGAGGCTGCAAGCAGCCTCGCAGCCCAGCGCTCAAGCGCTGCGCCACCAGGGGAGGCCCCTGAAAGTATGTGTTCTTAGCCCTCAGATTGTCCCCCACTCAGACTGGAGGAATATTCCTTTCCCAGATCCTGTTACCCTCCTTTCTTGATCATGTCCTGAGAAGCCAGGACCTGCCAGCTCTACCAGGCCTGGGGGTGCTGTCCATAGGGGTTACTGTCATAGCCCTTCTGGGCCAGATATTTCCAGCTGATTTACAGGCCCCATGTCCAACTCTCACCTTTTCCCCACACCCCATAGCAGGGGACAGTTTGAATACAGGGCCCTGCTGTTGTTTGTGGGAACCATACGACTGGGCCACGTTGGGGCCCAGCCGGGTTCTGCCTCCACCCTAAGTCTTGTTTCATTGTCCCTTCGTCTCCCACAGGGTGATATCGGTGGCTCCCTGGTCTGCAAGAAGAAGGGAGTGTGGACCCTGGTGGGCATCATTGTCGATGTCAGTCTTTCCTGTCCCACCCACCATCCTATGCTGGCCATCAGTTTGCCCAAGTACAAAGGATGGATTGAAAATACTGTGGTGCATAACTGAACTCTGATCATCCCATCGAACACAATAAAATCCTCTGCACAGAAGCCCTGACTGCTTGTGTGTGTGTGACCTGGGGAGGTGGCTGCAGTGTCCCTGGCACCCACCAGGGGGCGGCGTGACCCTCCCTTTCCAGGCTGCAGAGCCCCAGCAGCCCCTGTTTCTCAGGGAGCTGAGGCCTTTGGGTCTGGTCTTCTCTGCTCAGGTCCTGGGGTAGAGACCCGGCCCCCCACTCCATTGCTAAGAAGCCTCTGCAGGGTGAGCCCCTCACAGCTCCTGTTACTGGTTTTTCTGTTCTGGTAAGACAAGATGAGGAGACGACATGTTTGGAGACACCAGCCTGAGGGAGTGGCCGGGTCATGTCCCTGTCCCCAGGGGCAGGTGCTGCCTGGAGCAAGGCCTGGGGGACCCTGGGGACAGCCTGGCTGGTGGGAGGGGCTGGCCCTGCCCCCTTTCTCCCTGTGGCCAAGTTCTCACACCCCTGGGAGCTGCTGAGGATCCTGTGTCCTGACCCAGCAAATGTGTCTGCACATGTCAAGGGCCCTGCGTGTCCTCCTTGCTCTGGACAGTCTCGTCCTGTTTTCCCTTTCCCTGACGTGTCTCTGTGCGGGAATCAACGTCCTATCTTCTTAAATAGTTAATGACATAGTTCATGTGACGAAGACAAAATTCTGAAATAGTGAATCCAGAGTGTAAATGGGTTGAGGTCACATCCTCTGAACAAAGTTTTATAGGGATATTTTTTGTGGGCTTGGGTTTGTTTTGTTTTTAATTCCACACTTGCCCCATCTCCTTAGCCTGCTTTGAATGTGAGGTGGGCAGAGTTTGCTCCCCATTCTTGGCAAAATGCCTGGGGAGTCAGAGGGGGCTGAGGTCCCAGCAGGGAAGCGGGGAGCAGGACCCTGATTCCTCGGCCTGTTTCTGCTCCTCAGGGCAGGGTGACCCGGATGGAGCCGCCTGTCCCTCTGCATCCCTGGGAGGGTGACGGGCCAGCAGGCAGGGGTGTGTGTCCTCCAGTCTCAATGCAGGGGTGCCAGAAGGGAGGAATGTGGGCGTAGTGCTGTGCTGGCTGAGGGTCACCCAGGTTTCTGTAGACTCAGTAGACCTCCACCCTCTCACCCTCCCCACGCCCTGTCCCGGGACACCAGGCTCTGGGGCCCCTGCCAGTGAACTGGAGCTGAACATTCAACCCAGGATCATCGATGGGGAGGATGCTCATCCTGGCTCTTGGCCCTGACATGTGTCTCTGCAGGTGAGGGGAGTCTGCACCTGAGTGGGGTCACACGGGGGTAATGGTAAATGTGGGGTGTGACTACCCAGATGGATGTGTCTGTGTCCTGCCAGTGTTGACGCTCCCTTCTCCCTGCAGAATTCCACTGGCTTCTACTTCTGCGGGGGCTCCCTGATACACAGGAACTGGGTGATCACCGCTGCCCACTGCAATGTCACGCCAGGCCCAGGAAGGTCCTAGGGACAAGGGCGGGGCGTGGTCTCCTCCTCAATCCTTATCCACCTGCTCCCTCTAGGACATCTTTTTGGTTATTGCTGGGCTCTATGATCGACACTATTTTCAGAATGACATTCAAATCCTGAGGATTGCCAAGGTACCCAGACCCTGCTGGCCTGCCCTGGAGGCTCGGATGAGGGTTTAGGGGCAGGAGCAGAGGAGACAACCCTTCTGCTCAGAGACAGGAGCCAGAAGATGGGCCTCGCTGTTCTGCTGTCATCACCAATATATGTGCTCTCAGGGGGCACCCGGGATTCATTTTCCCTCTCTTCCTCTTGGTCCTCACACACAGATTTTTAGACACCCCCAGTTCTGGGTTAATACCTTGCGCAATGACATTGCCCTTGTGAAGCTGGCCACACCCACACTTATCGATGAGAGAGTGTCCCCCGTTGTTCTGCCCAGTGTTGACGAAAAGTTCCTTCCTGGGTCCCAATGCAGAATGGGCTGGGGGATCACCCACCCTAATGGTGAGTGACCACGGTCTTGCCACTCAGGACGTGGGTCTGGGGTTGGCTCTAGAACATCAAGTGGGACTGCATAGCTCACCTTCTGGTGTGTCCAAATTCCAAGTCTCATCAACGTGTCAGCTTTTTTCCTACAACCCGTTACTTTTGGGGGGTTTACTCTCATAGGCACCTCCTGTTGAGATATCTCTATCTTAACTGATTTAAAGGCCATATTGCCAGCTCCCACCTTCTCCTCTTCCCGCCCCCCCAGCTGGAGGCAGAGCTGGGGTGATGTTTGAAATAGAATTTCTCTGTTCAAAAACAGGACCTCCTGGTATTTCTGGGATCCTCATGCGCGGGGCAGGTTGGGACACATCTGGGGTTGACCAGCACTTCCAGTCTTGCATTCTGGTCCCTTCTCCTCCACAGGGTGATGTTGGTGGCTCCCTGGCCTGCAAGAAGAATGGAGTCTGGACTCTTGTAGGCATCATACTTTATGGCAGCAAATCCTGCCCCACTGGACGTCCTATGGTGGCCCTCAGTGTGCGTAATTTCCAGCCGTGGATTAAAAGTATGGTGGCTCACCACTGAGCCCTCATCCTCCCATCCCGGCGCCCTTTGACCCCAATAAAAGCCTCTGTACAGAAGCCCTGACTGCTTGTGTGTCTATGACCTGGGGGAGGTGGCTGCAGTGTCCCTGTCACCCACCAAGGGGCAGCACAACCCTTCCCTTTCCAGGCTGCAGAGCCCCAACTGCCCTTGTTTCTTAGGGCTGAGGCCTTTGCATGTGGTCCTCCCTGCTCAGGAGGCCCTTGGTGTAGAGTCCAGGACCACCAGCTGCAGCCTCATTTCTCAGCCTGGTTTTTGCTCCTTGGCAGCTGGATTGGCCCAGGGAGCTTTGAGGAAACCAGGAGTGCTCCAGGCCCGGCCACGCAGTCCTCTTCCCTGCAGGATGGACACCCTGATGAGGGCCACCCAGGCAGACTTGTCCCTCTCAGCACCCCGCACAGCTCCAGGCACCTTTCTCCGCCTTGTCCTCCCTGCCCCCCTTACCCCAGACCACACATGCAGTCTCCACCCTTCCTGCTTCTACCCAGGTCCTGCTCACTCACTCTGAACTGAGGAGCTGGGGAAGCTTCCTTCCAGTCCCAGGGTCTGAACCACTGTACTGCAAGACCCCATGTGTCCACTATTTTTTCCTTTGATTTGGTAGCTGCTAGTAGAGACTTGATCAGGCTCATGTCCCGCAGCCAGGCTGCAGGGGCTGGCCTCCTGCCTGGAGGGGTGAGGCCTGCTTTCTCTAACTGTTGGTATCACAGGCTTTGATGCCTGAGGCCTGGACTGTCATTGTCGGGCTTGTAAATGGGGGTAACTCACTCAATGTCCCTGTCATTTGCTGTAAGGACAGTTTTCATAGAGAAGTGTCCTCACCTGTCACTCAGTGACCCTGGCACAGTGTATAGAACATGAGTGGCCTCTGTACCAATGTGTGGTTTCTGGAAGGCCTTAGCTTTCTCCCAGTGACTGACTGGAATAGGACATGCTCTACCATCTTGAGTGCTTCCCTCTGGCCACACATGCCTTGGCCCTAGCCGGTCCCCAGGGAGAGGATCTCTGTTTCCTGCAACCTGGACTTGAGGGTCACACTGCTGGAGACCTGTGGGGTTCAGAAGGGACCTGTGGGGAAAGCACCCTCCAGGGTTGTGCTTTTTGTAATAAATACTGACCTGTCAGAGAGGAGATAGTAGGGATTTGCTCTTCTCCCCTTCAGAGATGTGGCTTGAACTCTGGGGCACCTTCTCCCTCTGCCCAGGGACTCAGGGTGTCAGTGACACTGAACTGATCAGACCAGTGACCCCACCCAGAAAGCCCGACCCCAAGCCCCACAGAGAGCGCCCAGAGGAGTCTGTCACTCTCACGGGCACGTGGAGGAGACGCAGCTGGCACCCCTGGTCCAGTTGTGAGGAAGTTCCCAGGAGTGGGCAGTGCAGGGACAGGAGGGTGTGGGCAGGGCGTCCTCACCCCAGCTCAGGGAAGGCCCCAGGCAGTGTCGTGGCCTCCAGCCGCAGGACAGCCAGGCCCTTGGGGAAGAGTTGCCCTCTTCTCTGTTAGCAGCTTAAAACCACCTGCAGGGTCTTATCAGATAAGTTCCTCTGGCTCTGAGCCTTTCTGCCTGTCCTGGTAGGGAACAGAAATACCGTGTTAATCATTAGTAGCCTTTTACCATGGCCTTGACAGAACGTGCTGCACGTAAGCGAAGCTGCCTGCTGGAAGATTAGGGCAGAGTTTATATCCAATCATCTGCTGAGGCTCCCAAAGTTCCTCCTTCTATATAAGGAAATTAAAAAAAATGTTTGTTGGATGGGAATGGGGCGTTATTTGTGACGAGGAAGGTCCCAGGAATGCTCCAAGTTGTCGCTTCTTTTCTTTTGAAATAATTCAACGCTATTATTTTATGAATGTTTTTGGCCAGCTTTAACACAAACAGAAGCTTGTCAAATAATACTTTATTGCCCAGAGGAAGAAAGACTCTAAGAGCCAAATTTTCCTCTGACAACTGCGCTTGCTGACAGGACTGGGTGTCTCTCTAGCTGCTCACACCTGAGGGGAGAAGAGCACCCGAGGGGGAGCTTCCTTAAGCTCTGACCAGGCTGTGCACAGTGTCCAAGGCTTTCCTTCCTCGGCAGATGAGGGGGTCTGTGTGGAGTCACGTAAGTGCACGTGAGCTGTGGCTTCCCCTGTGTGGGTCTCTGCTGCCCTCCTGGTGGTAGACCTTAGGGGAACCACACCCTTCTGAGAGTCCTCGGGGATTTTCCAGCTTGACCTCCTCAAGCTCATGTCTAAATCCCTTTCTGAGCTTCCACACGCACGACCCCCTCTTCCCATACAGCGCTGTTCCCCTTAGGGTTTTCATTTCATAGTTTCCTTAGACTTCGTACCCCTTCACACCTTGTTTTTCCAGAAGAGATGGGAGACTGCTCAGGGAGGATGAAAGGAGCAGCTCTGCCTGGAGTGACCTTTGTTCCTCTGTCATCAAGACTCAACATCTAAGAGACTAGTTTCAGCTTCTCCTGGGGGGCGGGGAGGAAGTGCCCCCATTTCAGTCACTCGCCACCTGAGCGCCTCAGCCTGGAGCTGAAGTCTCTGTGAGAGCAGAGGGTAACCTGTCCCTCCCAGACCACCTGACAATTACCTAATAAACTAAGGACCTTCAGCCATGACAGGTGGTGTAGCCCAGGAGGGTCTCCTGGTTCCTGATTGCCCAAGGGCCTGCTGGGAGCAGCTGCCCTTCCTGTCCTGATCCAGGAGGGCTTGGGGTTTCTGGGCCCATCATGTGGTCCCTGCTGTGAACTGCAAATGAAGTCTCCATGGTAGTGAGACTGAGAGCTTTCAGCTAATCCAAGTGAGGATTCCAACCCTCATGCTGGGAGAGCGGTTCCCTGGGGGCCATGTTTTAAGACAGAGGATTTTAACTCCATCTTTTCACAGTCTCATGACTTTATTTGTCAAAGCTACAGAACCAGGAGCAGAACCTTAGTTCCCCTAAGGTCGCACACACAACGGGCCCCACCCTCTCTGTCCCCTGAAATGTGGCAGAGTTGGCCTTCCCCACAGATGGGGTCTGAGCCCCAGGAGACTCTTTCCTGGTCAGAGACTTTCCCCACTGAAAAGAGGGGACTCCAGCACAAAACTGAATTTACAAAGGACAGAACAACAACTGAAGAAATGGAGTTCAAGTCAAGGCTGTCATATTTTCACTAGGACAAGTTTTTGAGCTAAAAGTGACGTGGTTATTCCAGAAGCAGCAAAGCACACACAGGTGGTTCCCTAGTCCATACAGAGACGGGGCCACGGAGCCACATAACAAACTCTGAGAGATCACACAAGTCACAGGTCAGTAGAAAACTATCCTAATGGAAAATGAGCAGGAGGTAAAATAAATGAGTGAAAACTGAAAATAAACAACTCCATTACCCAGCAGGAACTAGGAATCAGAGCTGCAAAAATATTCAAATAGAGAAAATGGGGGTTAAAAAAGAAATAAGCTACTCAAGTGCTCTGTCCAGTCTTTCTGGCTGCAGCAATGCATCGTGAAGACCCCATTGTGGAGACACGCAGGAGGGGTCTGGACAGGCTGATCCTGTGGCCCCACCTAGGGCAGGAGCCTCCCGGGCTCACCCTCCTCCTGGCCTTCCTGTGCTCGCCTCCGTGCTCCTGACATCAGCCCTGAGCTTTCTGGGTCCTCAGTGGGCTTTTCATGATGAGTTTTCAAGCCTCATTTGAGAATAAGTTGAGAGTTTTTATAGCAACGTGTGATCAGTGGTGAATTCTCAAGGAGAGGGCATTGGGCTAAGCCAGTGAGATACTGTCTTGCCCTCGTGTGCTCTGGGGCTGCGAGTCTGGGCTGGTTTCGAGGCCCATTCCTAAGGGAGCTGAGCCTGGTATGTCACTTGCCTCAGGGGTTGCCCTGAGCAGGGAGAGAAGCAGCCTGAAATCCTGGGCTCTGGGTGTGCATGATGTTGAGTCCTGGGTGCTGAGCTCTGGGTGCCCCAGAACACCTGGGTGAGGCTCCCTGTAGATGAGTCTTTGATGTGCACCTGCCACCCCCATGATGGGCCCAGGGCCTCCGGGGCCCACAGCTGGGTGCTTCCCCCGGGGGTTGCCGAGGCTGATGGGTGACAGGGAGCCAGGCAGCTGCCCTTTTCCCTGGTGGTGGGGTGACCAGGGCTGAGCCAGTCCGGGACAGGTTGAAGCATGGGAATTTGACCCTCAGGTCAGGTAAGGCCCAAGGGGTCTGGGCGGGACTAAGGCTCCCGGGGGATGTAAAAGGGCCCCTAGAGCAAGTGGTCTCATACCTCCCTGACTGCAGCACCATGGCCTTCCTTTGGCTTCTCTCCTGCTTCGCCTTCATTGGGGCCTCCTACGGTGAGTTTTAGGGTCATTGGGAACTGCTGGGCCTGGTAGGAGCCTGAAGCCCCTGTTGGTTGCACATCAGGCCTCCTCTGGAAAACTGAGGCATTCTGTTGGGGGTGTGATTTGGAGTCCAACCCTAGGGTGCATTGAGACCCTTCCTGTCCCCTTGGCCTCAGTGTAGGCCGTGCACGTGAATTTGCAGGAGGAGAGCGGCTCTTCGGGACATTCTGAGTCCTCACAGTGGTGACATGTGTGGTGCAGAAACTTGTGGGCTTCAGAGGATGGAGCCCAGGAAGTGGCTCAGGTGTGGCCCAGAGGGTCAGTAAGGGGGTGGGCACGAGAAACACCCCAAGTACTCTTCCCTTGACTTTCTTTATTGCCAGCACTTCTAGTAGTTGCTTTAATAAGAACAAAGACACAAAGAAAAATATATAATATCCATGCATCTCTGCTCAGGATTTAACAAACATTCGATTCTCCAGTTATCCTTAGGGATTCTCTGACACCCACACTGGGCTCAGCAGCTCCCTGCTCCCCCCTCCCCTGGGAAGGGGCCTCTGCTGAGCCCCTGCCTGTCACTTCTGTGCAGCTTCTCACACTCACTCCCTGTTTATAACCAGAACCAGGGCTCAGCGGGGGAAGCTCCTTCCTGTATTTCCTGCCTGTCCCTGTCACACCTGCTGGCCCCACTCCTGTGAGATTTCAGGCTTCTCCCTGCACAGGGGACCCGGCCCCCCACTCCATTGCTATGAAGCCTCTGCAGGGTGAGGGCTTCACAGCTATTGCTAGTGGTTTAATTGTCATTACCAAAAAGATGAAGAGACGGCATGTTTGGAGTCACCAGCTTGAGGGAGTGACTGGGCCATGTCCCTGTCCTCAGAGGCAGGGGCAGGTGCTGCCTGGAGCAAGGCCTGGGGGACCCTGGGGGGAGGGGTGGCTAGCTGGTAGAAGGAGTTGGGCCTTCCCCCCTTTCTTCCCGTGGCCAAGTTCTCACACCCCTGGGAGCTGCTGAGGATCCTGTGTCCTGACCCAGCCAATGTGTCTGCACATGTCAAGGACACCTGTCTCTCCCTGTTATTCTGGAAAATTCACGTCACTTGTTTTCTTTTTCTCTGATGTGTCTCTTCGTTGTTAGGATCAATGTCCAATGTTTTTATATAATTAATAATGAAACTTATGCACAAGGACTTTCTGAAATTCTGGAGTAAAGAATCTAGAATTTTAAATGGATACACTTGATATCCCATTAGTCAAGAATTATGTCTCTTGAACTGGTTTCTCTGTTTTAAATTAACCCCTCCTGTCCACACCCATCTCTTTGGTGAGCATTCCCTGTGAGGTGGGCAGTGTTTGATCCCCATTTTTTTTTAAGATTTATTTACTTATGCTTACAAGAGCTGGGATATAGGTCAGAGGTGTGTGTGTGTGTTGGGGGGGGGGTGAGAGGATTTGTTATAGAGCAACCCCGATATTGAACGGGTTCCTGGCTGTGGGTCCTCACCCGCGCGCTTTAAAGGGACTTAGGAATACTCCACTACAGACACACACAAAAGGTTCATAAAAGATTTATTTACAAGAGAAAAGGAAATAAGGAAAATGTACAACTCAGGGAGAAAATAGGGAAATAAAGTCTTTAATGCGTCCTACCCGATCCGACGACCTGGGAACCCAAAGTCACTCTCAGAGCTGGCCAGACGCTGCGAGCTGGCGGAGAGCCCAAAATGGGGGGTCCCCAAAGCCCACGTGTCTGCCTTTTGTATCCACCTGGCTGCTTAACCCCACCCTCAGGTCCCAGCCACCTTCCCTTGGGTCGTGATGGGATTTGGAGTTCCCAGTGTCTTTGGCTTTGGTCTGGGGTGGGGGTGGAGTCCACAAAGCCTGTATGGAATTTGCTTTGGGACAGCCTTTTCCCCCTAAGAGATTCACTGGAGACAGAGTGGGGAACAGAACAGGCAGACTGACTGAAATACACTGCTGAGGGGAGCAGCGGGTGAGACAGGAGAGGTCTGCTGTGCCATGTGGGTTGCTCCCTGGCCGGCTGGGGATCGAACTTGTGCTGCAGAGGCTGCGAATTGCTTCAAAGTGTGGTGCTTAACCCCTTGTGCCACCAGGGAGGCCCTGATCCCCATTTTGTGGGGAAAATAAGGCTGGGAGACACAGAGGGGGCTGATGTCTGAGCAGGGAAGCGAGGAGCAGGGACCCTGAATCCTCAGCCTGTTTCTGCTCCTCTGGGTAGGGTGACCCGGATGGAGCCACCTTCTCTCTGCATCCCTGGGAGGGTGGCTTGGTCAGAAGTCAGGGGTTTGTGTCTTCCAGTCTGAATGCAGGGGTGCCAGGAGGGGGCAGTGTGGGTGCTGTACGGGCTGAGGGTGCCACCAGGTTTGTGCAGACTGACTAGACCTCCACCCACTCACCCTCCCCCTGTAACCTCCAGGCTCCAGGGACCCTGCCAGCGAACCGGAGCTGAGCATTGTACCCAGGATCATTAATGGGAAGGACGCTGGTTCTAGCTCCTCCCCCTGGCATGTGTCTCTGGAGGTGAGGACCGTCTGCACCTGAGTTGGGTGACACTGTTTTACCTGCCCTTGAGGTGGTGGGGCTGCTCCCGAGATTGGTGGCTGGTGTGTATCACTTTTATGACATTCTTCCAACAGAACTCCTCTGGAAAGCTCATCTGCGGGGGCTCCCTGATCAACCGGAACTGGGTGATCACCGCCGCCCACTGCAGAGTCAGGTGAGGCCAGGAGGGCCTTGGGCCTGGGAGGGCTGTGGTCGGGTGCATCAGCCTTACCCATGTGTTCCTCTAGGGTGTATGACTGGGTTGTGGCTGGGCTGCATGACCGACGCGCATATGGGAATAAAATCCAATTCTTAAAGATTGGCAAGGTACGCTCCACCCTGCTGGGTCTGCCTTGGGGGCTCCATGAGGGTTTAGGGGCAGGAGCAGAAAAAAAAACCCTTTGCCCGCAGAGACAAAAGCCAGCAGAGGGGCTTTGTTGTTCTCTGGGTCTCCCCTGATCTTTGTTCCCTAAAGGGGCCATCTGGAATTCATCTGTCTCCTCTCGTCCTCCTGGTCCCACAGATTTTTAGGTACCCCGAGTTCAACATCAGCACTTTCTATGGTGACTTCGCCCTCTTGAAGCTCATTACCCAGGTGAACTTCCAGCGCACAGTGTCTGCCATTGCCCTGCCCAGTGTGGACGACAGGTTCTCTGCCGGTTCCCAGTGCAAAATTGTGGGCTGGGGACATACCCGCCGCCATGGTGAGTGATCTTGGTCTTACTACTCACTCTTACTACTCACTTGGCCTTACTGCTTACTACTCCCTGGAGTTGGAGGGCTAGAACAGCAGGTGGGACTCGTATGGCTCTGGTTATTGCTTTGTCCAAATTCAAACTCTCATATGTGTCTGTTTCTTTGCTAGAAACTGTTATGAAAACCTACCCAACACGGGTGGGCATGAGTTCCACGGTGTCCTTGAGCTGTCAGTTTCTGCAGACATAGCTCAGTCCCAGCAGGCCCTGCTCACTCACCTCCCAGCAGGCAGCAGTGGCACCGTAACCAGAGGACTTGCCCCAGGCCAGAGTGGGCAGAGAGCAACTTTCATCCAGACCTGGTTAAGCAGGGGCCACCAAGGCTGGTTTAGGCCCCTGTTTATAACCAGCCCATCCTCCCCAACCTGGACTGGCTCTGCCTGATGGTCTCCTCCCAGTCCTGAGTCCTTCTGCCCAGGCCAGGGCTACTCAGCTGGTCCTTCCACAGGACAGCAGCTGCCAGGAAGGGGCAGCGGGGAGGGAGCTCCCTGTCACCCCAGAGTGGGTTTTCTCATCAAAAGGATGTCAGTCCTCCTCCCTGGGGACAAGATGCTGCTCCTGAGACCGCCAGACCTGGGCTGGCAGGACCAGGCCACACCAGGCTGGGCAGTAGGGCTTCTGTCATCAAAGTGCTCGGAGCTAAGTTGCCCCACCTGGGGTGGAATCAGGAGAACATATCCCTTTGAGGTTTCTAAGGTCTAACAGGGTATAGGTCCTGCACCCTGGTGCTGCTGTCGGAAGTGGTGGTGGTTGTGGTGGGGGAACAGGGATGACTGTATTCAGGGTCCCTGGTCTTCTTCACCCAGGTTGGGCTCAGAGGATGACAGTCTTCACTCCCTCACCCCTCTGTCTCTACAGGCAAGAAGAGACCTGACAAGCTGCAGGAGGCCACTGTGCCCATCCTGAATAAAGTGGAATGCCAGGAGTACTGGGGCCACAGGATGAGCAGCGACATGATCTGTGTGGGGGCCAACGGTGTCTCCTGCTGGAAAGTATGTGTTCTTTATTTTATTTTTTTTTTGGACACTTGCTGGTGGCCGGGGATCGAACCTGCGCTGCAGAGGCTGCAAGCAGCCTCGCAGCCCAGCGCTCAAGCGCTGCGCCACCAGGGGAGGCCCCTGAAAGTATGTGTTCTTAGCCCTCAGATTGTCCCCCACTCAGACTGGAGGAATATTCCTTTCCCAGATCCTGTTACCCTCCTTTCTTGATCATGTCCTGAGAAGCCAGGACCTGCCAGCTCTACCAGGCCTGGGGGTGCTGTCCATAGGGGTTACTGTCATAGCCCTTCTGGGCCAGATATTTCCAGCTGATTTACAGGCCCCATGTCCAACTCTCACCTTTTCCCCACACCCCATAGCAGGGGACAGTTTGAATACAGGGCCCTGCTGTTGTTTGTGGGAACCATACGACTGGGCCACGTTGGGGCCCAGCCGGGTTCTGCCTCCACTCTAAGTCTTGTTTCATTGTCCCTTCGTCTCCCACAGGGTGATGTCGGTGGCTCCCTGGTCTGCAAGAAGAAGGGAGTGTGGACCCTGGTGGGCATCATGGTCGTTGTCAGTCGTTCCTGTCCCACCCACCATCCTATGATGGCCATCAGTTTGCCCAAGTACAAAGGATGGATTGAAAATACTGTGGTGCATAACTGAACTCTGATCATCCCATCGAACACAATAAAAGTCTCTGCACAGAAGCCCTGACTGCTTGTGTGTCTGTGACCTGGGGGCGGTGGCTGCAGTGTCCCTGTCACCCACCAGGGGGCGGCGTGACCCTCCCTTTCCAGGCTGCAGAGCCCCAGCAGCCCCTGTTTCTCAGGGAGCTGAGGCCTTTGGGTCTGGGCCTCGCTGCTCAGGAGGCCCCTGGGGTGGAGTCCAGGACCACCTGCTGCAGCCTCATTTCTCAGCCTGGTTTCTGCGCCTTTGGCAGCCGGACTTGATCCAAGGGACTATGTGGAAGGCAGGAGTGCTCCAGGCCAGGCCATGCAGTCCTCTGCGACCAAGAGAGTCACCCAGGCAGGCTTGTCTCTCCCCACATGCTCCAGGCACCTGTCTCTGCCTTGAGTCCCCTGCACCCCCACCCCAGACCATCCATGCAGGCCTCACCCTTCCTGCTTCTACCCAATTGTCTCCCCATTTTTCAATAGTGTCCTCTCATCTCTGTAGCACCCTGACATGTCTGTGTCCCTAGTTCCCTCCCTGCGTCTCGCTGGCTCAGGCCCTTGTCTGTCTGAGGTCAGACCCGTCCTTGTTTCCATGTCTCTGTGGCCCATGGGAGCCCGACGCTCCTCCTCTGTGTGTGTCTCAGGAAAGGCCACGGGGTCCTGTCATTGTGGACCTGTTATTACACTTCTGTGCAGGAAAATGTTCAAGAGCCATTCTCAAATATTTGTCAGTTAGAATCATTCTTTTTGTTCATGATTTTATAAGTGCTTTGTAAAGTCTGGCTTCTAAACACTCATCAGAATAATTTTCAACGCATTCTTCCTTTTGTTGTTGTCTAGTGAGTACTCACTTGATAAAGACATAAAGACTGTTGAAGCTTAGAAGTTTAAATTTTTGTATTTACATGTTATTTTTCTTTTTTTTTTTTCCTGCTTTGGTGTCACTTCAAATTAGTAGGAAATACTTTCAAAGTGGAGATCATGCCGGGTGGTACCAACATCTTAACCATAATCAGTTTCCTGTCCATGGACATGGAATTCTTTCCATCATTTAGCCTTTCTTTTCTTTTTCATTTTTTTTTGTCATGCATAATTATTTGCATTGAGGTAGCAATGGTTATCTACACTCTATACATTTAGGGGTGTAGGGTCACACCTCTTTAGATGCATATACCTCTCCAAGCCACCATCAGATGCCCAGCAGTCCTATCACCTTCTATTTGACCCCTGGTCTCACTGTTCACTCCTCGTATCCCCTATTACCCTGTAGCCTATCTACTGTGATCAGGTTTCAAGGGTGTGCCGTGGTCAGTCTGAAATCTCTGTGTCCAGTGGCCTCTGTACAATATGTGGTTTCTGGGGGAGCATCAAGGACCCCAAAGTCCCCATGGTTTGGGCTGTGTGTGCAGCAGCATCCACAGTCCTGGGAGCCGAGTCCTGCAGCACAGGGGAGAGGCCCAGAGGCCTGGGGACCCCACCCAGAGGCCCAGTGGCACCAGGGCCTGAGCTCAGGAGTGTGAGGGGGAGCCGGACCTATAGCTCCTCAATGCCCTCCCCCGGCACCACTTCAGGCCAAGGGACCCCACCCAGAGCCCCAGAGGAGGCTGGGATGTGTCCGGGTGGGTCTCCCTGTCCTCCTGGGCTCCTGCCTGCACAGATTTTGTACCTCTCCTGTTGCCCAGGTCACCTGTCTGTCCTGGGAGGGCAGGGAGGCCTCTGCAGCCCCAAAGCACAGGAGCTGGGGGAGACCCCGGACAATCCCATATCCCATTAGGAACCAATTAAGGAGCAATGAAGATGAGGCTCAGGGCAGTTCACACATCCCTTCCAGGTGATTCCTGTGAGTGATCACGTTGAAAGTCCCGCTGGAGTCAGAACTCCTTGCCTGCTTGAGGGTGAGGAGGCCAGGCCTCCCCTGGGTAGGGACCCCTGAGGGGCACTGAAGGGAGATGTGTCCTCTCAACTGTGGCCACCAGGGGCAGTGCTATCCCTGGACAGCTACCCAAGGCCAAGGAGCCAGCCCAGGAGCCTCTCAGTCAGCTCTGGAAACAACTGTCAGGTAGGACAAGGGGCCCTGCCATGGAACATGCTGGAAGGCACGGCAGTGTTATCTTAGGCTTGAGGTGGGCATGGGGACATTTACCTGCTTGCTGCCAACCCCACATTCCTGCCCCCTGTGCACACAAGGTCTGGGGTGTCTTTGGTATAAATAAATTCATGGCTTTCTGCTCCTGTGTGTAACAGGCATGTTGGCTTGTTGGTATTTTTCTTGCTTTATAAGACAGACCACAGGCCTTTCATTTTATTTTTTTTTTTTTATTTATTTATTTTTTTTATAGAGGCATGTTTTTCTTTATTTGTTTGTTTGCTTGTTTGTTTGTTTTGTTTATACATGCACTGGGTACAGTCAGAAGTGCGGGAGGGTGAGAGAACCCACCAGAGCCAGAGCGGGGAGCAGAGCAGGCAGAAGGACCGAAGTACACTGCTGAGGGGAGCAGCGGGCGGCAGGAGAGGTCTGCGCGCCATGTGGGACCCTCCTCCGGTGGCCGGGGAGAAGCCGGGGATCGAACCGGCGCTGCAGAGGCCGCGGGCAGCTTCGCAACCCAGTGCTCAACCGCTGCGCCACCGGGGAGGCCCTGGCCTTTCATTTTAAACAGTTTTCAATAAAAGCTTTGATGTCTATCTATTTCTTTCCCGAGTGAGCAGCTTCCCACACATTTGATGGGTGGTATTTTCATGTCCTTCGCTTCCACCACCTTCTTAATTTCCCCTTCCATTACCTCTGTATCCAGAGGTTATTTAGAGTGTTTTCAATTCTTAAGTATTTCAGCCTTTTCTGTGTTTTTGCATTTTGTCTCTCTTGGCTGGGATTCTTACCGGGGGCTCCCGCTACCCACCGCACAGACACCCCCTTTCAGAGCCAGTGCAGTGGCTGGACCAGCCCTTGAGGATTTAAGTTGCCACCAGCAGGAACCATCAGGAAACTAGAAATGCAGCAAGTTTATTTCTCACAGGTCCTGAGGAGACAGGGCGGGCCCTGGGGCACACAGTGAGGGGGTGTGGGCTGGGTGAGCTCAGTGCCCCTGGGGGTACTTACTGGGTCACAGGGTCATGGCTCATTTGGTGGGTCTCTCTTCTTCCTGATGAATTTCAAACATGAGGTGGGAATAAAAGGGCAGGAAGGAAAAACCAGTAGATAGATGGTCCCTTTCCTAAGTCTCTGAGATCTGGAATGTTAAGGGAAGTGAGTGATTGGGACCGGGTCTCATGTAGTCCTGAGGTTGGGATGTGGTTATTCTGTGCATTTCTTTTAAGCCCATGCCTGGACAATCAGCTGAAACCAGGCCCTCGGCTGACAATTAAAATGCCCAATGTCAGGGGCGTCCCCTGCCGTCCCCTGAGACACAGGGCCCCGTCATGGTGGGGCCTCCACAGCCTGGGGAGCAGGTCGGGTCCATCGGGGCAGGTCCTGACCAGCAGCGCCCATCAAGCAGGGTGAGAGCAGCCCATCCCGTAATAATACACAACAGCAGCCTCATCCAGCCCACAGCCATCTCCCCAGCTGAAGGAAATATGAGTGCAAAGTGGATCTTTCAAAGATGTGGGTCTCATGGTGGAAATATTGCCAGGCAGGGAAGCACTCAGGTCTACATTGTGCAAAGTTATCTGTCCCGGCTGTCATCTCTAGAATGCCCAGCAGTGAAGTCCCGGGCTGGGGCCATCTCAAATGAGATGGTGTCCACTCCAGTGATGAGTGGGGTTCGCTTGATTGTGAGGTCCTCTTGAGTGGTGCCCTCTGTCTTGGGGTGTCCCTCCCTTTTCACTATCCAGTTGGACTTTGGTCACGGCTTACGTGGGCCTAGTTGATGCTTCTCGGGCATCCTGAGTATGGGTACATATCTGCTTCTGCTCTGATGGAAGAAGTGTTGAGAATCTCTGGGTCATCAGGGCTCATCTGGCACCTTGGACCCAGCAGCCCTTGCAAAGCATCTAGGATCCTGGGCCCCTGTACAGCCCTGATGATGGGCATATTAGGATGCCATTTCAGCAGTGCTGGGCCCATGTGTGAGGGCAGAAGATAAACATGGAAGCACAGTTCCTGTCACCCTGTGGCTCCAGCTGCAGCAAGTAGCAATATTTGACGAACAGAAGACAAGGCGCCTGTGGTCATTTAGACATGTCTTACCCAGGGCCCATTACCTGCACAGGGACTCAAATTATTTGTCCCCAGATAGGTGAGTTGCTGCTCTGAGCACTCGAACAGAGCTCTGGAGGCTTCCCTGCTCCCCTGTGGTACAGGCTGCGCTGTGCTGGCCAGCGTGTCTGTGGGATGTTGGGAGGAGGCTCTCCCTCCCTGGATCTCCAGGTGCACAGGTTGTAAAAGACAAGCTAATCTTGTGCACAGGGGCCTGGCCTGGAACCCACTTCTGGCCCCTGCAGTGAAGGTGCAGGTCTCTAGAAAGGGAACTGCACCCTCAGGAAAGAAGAGCTGAATTGGAAACTTGCAATTTTCAGGAACAGGGTGGTGCAGGGCTCGTGTGCACATGCCCGGGACGGCCCTTGCAGGCCTGCCTGGTGAGGAGGCTGAAGACTGTTCATCCCAGACAATGGGGACCTCCTGCTCTGAGGAAGGTGAAATTAGGCAAAACGTGTCTATCACATTATCTCTTTATTTTATTTTTTTTTTTGGTGGGACCCTCGCCAGTGGCCGGGGATCGAACTGGTGCTACAGAGGCTGTGGGCAGCCTCGCAACCCGGTGCTCAACCACTGCGCCACCCGGGGAGGCCCTATCACAGTATCTCTTATTTAACCTCTCCTTAGGCTTGTGCCAGGCTCCCTACAGGCCCCAGCTCTCTCCCTGGGATCTTATCTCTGACTGTGACTGAATCGACGTGCTCCACCACCCTGAGAGTTCCCCTCTTTTGGACACCTGTGCCTGCCAAGGGCTGGTCTCTAGGGAGAAGATCTGTTTCCTGCGTCCTGGTACCTGAGGGTCAGTCTGCTGGAGGCCTGTGGGGTGGAGAAGGGACCTGGAGGGCACAGCACCATGTTATCATTTTCATTTGTGATGCTTTTTGTAATTAACGTAAGGGTGTCCAAGTGGAGATAACAGGGATTTGCTCTTCTCCCCTTCAGAGATTTGGTTTGAACTCTGGGGCACCCGTCCCTCTGCCCAGGGTCTCAGGGTGTCCGTGTCTCGAACTAATTTGGCCAGTGACCCCACCCAGAAAGCCAGACCCCGAGCCCCACAGCAAGCGCCCAGAGGAGTCTGTGACTCTCACGGGCACGTGGAGGAGACGCAGCTGGCACCCCTGGTCCAGTTGTGAGGAGGTTCCCAGGAGTGGGCAGTGCAGGGACAGAGGGTGTGGGCAGGGCGTCTTCACCCCAGCTCAGGGGAGGGTCCAGGCGGTGTAGTGGCCCCTGCCGCAGGACAGCCAGGCCCTTGGGGAAGAGTTGGTCCTTCTGTGTTATCAGCTTAAAATCACCTGAAGGTGTTTATCAGGCACTGGAGTTTTCTGCATCCTGGGAGGAAACAGAATATCTTGTTAAACCTTAAGCGACCCACTGCCATGGCCTGGGGACTGTGACCCAAGTCGCCTAATCTGCGAGGATAAAGTATAGGGCAGAGTTCATGTCTATGTCCTAGACTCAGGCCCAACACAGATTCCCTTTATTTCTTTAAGCAGAATTTATTTTTATTTATTTATGCATACAAGAACTGAGGTGCAGGCCAAAGGTGCAGGGGATGAGAGGATTCACCAGAGACAGAGTGGGGAGCAGAACTAGTGGATCTACTGAGATACATTGCTGAGGGGAGCAGCGGGTGAGGCAGGAGAGGTCTGCTGCGCCATGTGGGTAGCTCCCTGGCTGGGGATCGAACTGGTGCTGCAGTGGCTGGTGATGGCTTGATAGCACTGAGACCTTTACTCCTTTGCCACCCAGGAGGCCCAAATTTATTTTTAACATTGACTGAACTTATTTTCAGCTGAGAACCACATAACAAAGTGACAGATCACACAACTCACAGGTTAATAGAAAGCTCAGTAGAATCTAGAAGAAAATGAATAGGAAGTAAAAAAATAAATAAATAAAAATAGTCATTAACATTTGAAAGAGTTTCCCCTACCTAGTATCAAGGTCATCACTGATTGAAACTACTGACCTCTATTTTCAAATTGACAATCTATGAGGGCTGGTACCCTGTTCTCACAGATGAAGGGATGGGGTTTCTTGGTAAATAACAAAATGGTGAAAACTGAAAAAAAAAAAAAAAAACCACAACAAAACAAAACCACAACAACACAACTCCAGATCCCAAGTGGAAAGTGGGTATCAGCAGCAAAAATATTCAAATACAGGGCCTCCCCGGTGGCACAGAGGGTTGAGCGCAGTGCTGTGAAGCTGTCCTCAGACTCTGCAGTGCTGGTTCGATTCCTGGCTGGCCAAGGAGATATCCACATGGCGCGGCAGACCTCTCCTGACTCACCTGCTGCTCCCCTCAGCAGTGTATTTCGGTCTGTCTGCCTGTTCTGTTCCCCACTCTGTTTCTGGTGAATCCTCTCACCCTCCTGTGCCTCTGGCCTGTACCCGAGCTTTTGTATAAAAATAAATAAAACTAAAAAAAAATTCAAATACAGAAATTAAAGGATAAAAAAAGAAATAAAATACACAGATGCCTCTGTCCAGTCTTTCTGGCTGAGCAATGCATCGTGAAGACACCAGCAGACACGCAGGGGGAGTCTGGACAGGCTGAGGTCCTGTGGCCCCACCTAGGGCAGGGGCTCTGAGGCTCACCCTCCTCCTGGCCTTCCTGTGCTCGCCTCCGTGCTCCTGACATCAGCCCTGAGCTTTCTGGGTCCTCAGTGGCCATTTATGGTGAGTTTTTAGCCTCATTTGAAAATGAGTTTTTATAACGACAGGTCATCAGTGGTGAATTCTCAAGGAGAGGGCATTGGGCTAAGCCAGTGAGATACTCTCTTGCCCTCGTGTGCTCCGGGGCTGCGAGTCTGGGCTGGATCCGAGGCCCATTCCTAAGGGAGCTGAGCCTCGTGTGTTTCACTTGCCTCAGGGGGTTTCCCTGAGCAGGGAGAGAAGCAGCCTGAAGCCCTGGGCTCTGGGGATCCAGTGAAATTGAGTCCTGAGTGCTGAACTCCGGATGCCCCAGAACACCTGGGTGAGGCTCCCTGTAGATGAGTCTTTGATGTGCACCTGCTGCCCCCATGATGGACCCAGGGCCTCCGGGGCCCACAGCTGGGTGCTTCCCCTGGGGGTTGCCGAGGCTGATGGGTGACAGTGAGCCAGGGTGTTGCCCTTTTCCCTGGTGCTGGGTGACCCGGGCTGAGCCAGTCCAGGACATGTTTGTCCACAGGGACAGAGGCCCTCAGGTCAGGGAAGGCCCAGAGGGTCCTGGGCGGGACTAGGGCTCCCAGGGGATGTAAAAGGGGCCCCAGAGCAGGCCGCCCCACCCTCCCTGACTGCAGCACCATGGCCTTGTTCTGGCTTCTCTCCTGCATCACCCTCGTCGGGACCAACTTTGGTGAGTGTTGGTGTCTGAGGGAAAAGCTGGGCTTGAGAGGTCAGTGGGGAGAGGTGTCCTGAGGCCCATTGACTCCATATCATGTCCCCCCGGAAGACTGGAGGGTTTTTGGGAATGAGTACTCGTGTCCAGCCCCAGGGGTGCTTTGAGTCCTTCTCCTGCCCCGTTGGCCTCAGCGCAGACAGTTAGCCTGACTTTGCAGGAGGGGAGTAGCCCTTCTGGGCTTTTTGAACTCTCACATGTGGGCCAGATGCAGAGCAGAACCATCCTGGCCTCAGAGGATGGAGCCCAGGAAGTGGCTCAGGTGTGGCCAGAGGCTCAGATACGGGATGGACACATGAAAACACCCACGGCCTCCTCCCGTGGATTTTATTGTTTTGCCGGCAGTGCTAGCAGTTGGTTTTATAAAAACAAAAATAAATCCAAAAGCAGTATGAGATCAGGTATTTAGGGTGGTGGCCAGGCAATGCCTAGGTCCAGTTTAGGAGAAAATAACTTTCACAGATTTGCTTTAGGGATTCTCTGACACCCACACTGGGTCCAGCAGCTCCCTGCCCCCCCCCCTCTCCTGGGAAGGGGCCTCTGCTGATTGCTTATTAAGTATTTAATAAGGTGGGACTTGGACTCCCCACCTTACAAAGAACCATTAGGCACAGGGCTTCTCTGGTGGTGCAAGGGGTTAAGCACCACACTGTGAAGCAATCCGCAGCCTCTGCAGCATGAGTTCGATCCCTGGCCAGCCAGGGAGCTGCCCACATGGCGCAGCCTGTCTCACCTGCTGCTCCCCTCAGCAGTGTACTTTGGTCAATCTGCCTGTCACTTCTGTGCAGCTTCACACACTCACTCCCTGTTCATAACCAGAACCAGGGCTCAGTGGGGGAAGCTCCTCCCTGTATTTCCTGCCTGTCCCTGTCACACCTGCTGGCCCCACTCCTGTGAGATTTCAGGCTCCTCCAGCACAGGGGACCCGGCCCCCCACTCTTGCTATGAAGCCTCTGCAGGGTGAGCCCCTCACAGCTCCTGCTGGTGGTTTTCTTTTCTTATAAGAGAAGGTGAAGAGGAGATGACATGTTTGGAGACACCAGCCTGAGGGAGTGGCCGGGCCATGTCCCTGTCCCCAGGGGCAGGGGTAGGTGCTGCCTGGAGCAAGGCCTGGGGGACCCTGGGGGCGGCTAGGCTGGTGGGAGGGGCTGGCCCTGCCCCCCTTTCTTCCTGTGGCCAAGTTCTCACACCCCTGGGAGCTGCTGAGGATCCTGTGTCCTGACCCAGCAAATGTGTCTGCACATGTCAAGGGCCCTGCGTGTCCTCCTTGCTCTGGACATCCTTATCCTCTGTTTTCTTTTCCTTATTGTTCTTTTTTTAAAGATTTATTTATTTATGTAAAGAAGAGCTGGGGCACAGGCCAGAGATGCAGTGGGTGAGAGGATTCACCAGAGACAGAGTGGGGAACAGAACAGGCAGACTGACTGAAATACACTGCTGAGGGGAGCAGCGGGAGAGCCAGGAGAGGTCTGCTGCGCCATGTGGGCAGCTCCCTGGCCGGCCGGGGATCGAACTCATGCTGCAGAGGCTGCGGATTGCTTCACAGTGTGGTGCTTAACCCCTTGCGCCACCAGGGAGGCCCTGTTCCTTATGTTTCCTTTTAAGGTGGGGAGTCCAAGTCTCACCTTATTAAATATTTAATAACCAAACTTAGGCAAAGAAAAATTTTGAAATCCTGGAATAAAAAATCCAAATTTGTGAAGTGTCCATGTCTTATAAGTCAGCAAAGAATTAGAAAGGGCGTTTCTCTTGGAGTTGGGGTTGTTCTGCTTTTAATTCCATGCCCCCTGCCAATACCCATCTCCTTGGCATTGCCAAGGAGGTGGGCAGTGTTTGCTCCCCCTTTACTGGGGAAATGAGCCTGGGACAATCAGAGGGGACTGAGGTCCCAGCAGAGAAACAGGGGGTAGGGACCCTGATTTCTCAGCCTGTTTCTGCTCCTCTGGGCAAGGAGACCCGGATGGATCTGCCTGTCCCTCTGCATCCCTGGGTGACTGGGCCAGCAGGCGGTGGGGGGTGTGTCTTCTAGTCTGGATGCAGAGGTGCCAGGAGGGGGGAGTGTGGGCGTGGTGCTGTGCTGGCTGAGGGTGCAACCAGGTATCTGCAGACTGACTAGACCTCCACCCTCTCACCCTCCTCCCTTTGACCCCCAGGCTCTGCGGCCCCTGCCAGCGAACCGGAGCTGAGCATTGTACCCAGGATCATCAATGGGGAGGAAGCTCGTCCTGGCTCCTGGCCCTGGCATGTGTCTCTGCAGGTGAGGGGAGCAAACTGGGGTGCTGGCAATATGATGGGAACTGCTTCCCCAATGGGTGTGACAGGTGCCTGTCAATTTTAACCGACCTTCTCCCAACAGAGTCCCTCTAGAATCCACTACTGTGGGGGCTCCCTGATCTACAGGAACTGGGTGATCACCTCCGCCCACTGCAATGTCTTGTGAGGCCCAGGATGCCCTAGGGACAAGGGAGGGGAGTGGTCTCCTCCTCAATCCTTACCCAGTGCTCCTTCTAGGAAACATGACTTGGTTGTGGCTGGACAGTATGACCGACAGTCTCAGGATAACATCCAGATCCTGAAGATTGCCAAGGTATTTCAGATCCCCCTGACCTAGGCCTGGGGGAAGATTAAGAGTTTGGGGGCAGGAGCAGATGAGACAATCCTTAGCTGCAGAGACATAAGGCAGGAGAGGGGCTTCCCTTGTTTCTGGTCTCGCCTGATCTTTGTCCAGAGGGGCCACCCTGAATTCACTTCTGTCATCTTGTACCCCTGGTCCCTCCCCCCACAGATTTTTATACACCCACACTACAATCCGCTCAATAACTACGCCGACCTCGCTCTGCTGAAGCTGACGTCCCAGGCTGACTTCCACCTCACCGTCGTGTCCCCTGTTCTCCTGCCCAGTGTTGATGACAAGTTCCATGTCCGGTCCTCGTGCAGAGTCATGGGCTGGGGGGTTACCCGCTTTAACCGTGAGTGGCCATGGCCTTGCCCTTCAGTGTGGACCTGGGATCGGCTGCTAGAACAGCAGGCGGGAGCTGTAGGTCTCTGGTTTATGTTTTAGTAAAATTGAAATTCTCATAAATGTTTTCAAATTGTTTACTACAAATGTTATGAAAACCTCCCCAACATGCCTGGCCGAGAGGCCCATGATGTCCTTGAACTGTTAGTTTCTGCACAAAGAGCTCCTTCCCAGCAGGCCCCACCTCACCCACCTGCAGTCAGTCCTGGAACCCCAACATACTGGACTTGCCCCAGGCCTGAGTGGGCAGGGGTGCAGTCACTTTCCAGACCTGTGTGGTGGGGGTCAAGCACTAGTGCAAGTTCTGGGCCCTGAGCGTCCAGCCCGGTGTCCCCTCCCCAGGGCTGGGCCTGCCTGATGGTCTGAGTTCTGCTGTCCAGCCCAGGGCTACCCGGCTGGCTGCTCCTTCCCCAGGACAGCAGCCGCCAGGAAGGGGCAGCTGGGATGGCTCCCTGTCACCCCCAGAGTGGGGTCTGCAGTCAGAAGGATGCCATCCCCTTCCCTGGGGAGAAGACCCTGCCCCTGACACCCCACACTCGGGCTGCTGGCAGGACCCCGGCCACACCAGGCTGGGCAGGCAGGGCCTGTGTCATCTGCTGTGCGTGGAGCAACGTCAGCCCGGCCTGGGGTGGAATCAGGAGCAACAAGTCCCTTTTAGGATACTGAGTTCTAACAGGCTGTAGGCTTCTGCTCTGCACCCTGTTGCTGGTATAGGTAGAGGGGGGCAGGGATGGCTGCCTGGGGGCCCTGCTGTTTTCCACTCCGGCGGCTAAGAGGATGAGAGACCTCAGCTCCTTGGCCCTTCTGTGTCTACAGGCACCATCATGCCCATCAAGCTGCAGGAGGCCACTGTGTACCTCCAGACCAATGAGGTGTGCAGGAAGTACTGGGGCCCTAACCTCCCACAAGAAATGATCTGTGTCGGGGCCAAGGGCATCAGCCCTTACGACGTATGTATGGTGTTGCTCTCACCCAGCCCTCACAGGTTGTTCCCTTATCAGGCTGCAGGAACACACCTTACCAGATACCCCCGCCCCTGTTTCCTTTCACATTGTCCAGGGAAGCCAGGCCCAGCCCTCACACAGGCCCAGCCGAGTACTTGCTCTGCCAGGCATCGGGGTGCTGTCCATGGGGAGTTACTCTCATAGCCACCCCATAGGCTAGATATTTCCAGCTGATGCACAGAGCAGGGGTGCTACCACCACCTTCCCCTCACCCACCGTTTGCAGGAAGCAGAGCCAGGTTAGCATCTGTATGGAGTTTCTTGTTTGAACTCTGTGCCCACCTGTGTTTCTTGCCACCACATGGCTGGGTCAGGTTGGGGCATCTCAGCGTTCTGCCAACCTTTCAACCTTGCAGACCAATCCTTTCTCCTCCCACAGGGTGACTCTGGTGGCTCACTGGTCTGTATGAAGTATGGAGTCTGGACCTTGGTGGGCATCCTGACCTGTGTTGATGAAACCAGACCCACTGACGTTCCTGTGGTGGCTGTTCGAATCCCTAAATTCATACCCTGGATTGAGGATATTGTGGCTCACAACTGAGCCCTGATCCCCCCAGTGCAGCGCCCTTTATCCCCAATAAAATCCTCTGCACAGAAGCCCTGGCTGCTTGTGTGTCTGTGACCAGGGGAGGGGGGGAGGGGGGACGGGGGAGGGGGGGAGGTGGCTGCAGTGTCCTTGTCACCCACCAGGGGGCGGCGTGACCCTCCCTTTCCAGGTTGCAGAGCCCCAGCAGCCCCTGTTTCTCAGGGAGCTGAGGCCTTTGGGTCTGGGCCTCCCTGCTCAGGAGGCCCCTGGGGTGGAGTCCAGGACCACCTGCTGCAGCTCATTTCTCAGCCTGGTTTCTGTGGCTTTGACGCAAGGAGCTTGGTGGTGACAGCTTAATTACACTGTATAAGTTTTCTTTTTTCAAAGATTTATTTATTTATGCATACAAGAGCTGGGGTGCAGGCCAAAGGTGCTGGGGGTGAGAAGATTCACTAGAGACAGAGCAGGGAGCAGAACAGTCAGACTGACTGAAATACACTGCTGAGCGGTGCAGCAGGCGAGGCAGGAGAGGTCTGATGCGCCATGTGGGTAGCTCCCTGGCCGGGGATCGAACTGGTGCTGCAGTGGCTGGTGATGGCTTGATAGCACTGAGACCTTTACTCCTTTGCCACCCAGGAGGCCCAAAAGGGCATGTTAACATTTTGAAAAATTTCTCCATTGTAGGTCAAAGAAAATACTAATTTAAACTATTGAACCGATTTTCAAGTTGACAAAAATATGGCTGGTGCCCTGTCCTCCCAGATGCGCGGAGGTGCATCTGAGGAGAAAAAAATGGTGGAAAAGAAGAAAAAAAAAAACAAAACGATAAAACACTCCAGAAGTCAGGTGGAAGGTTGTCATTAAACTGTAAAAATAGTCAGATGCTTCTGTCCCGTCTTTCTGGCTGAGCAATGCATCGTGAAGACACCAGCAGACACGCAGGAGGGGTCTGGACAGGCTGAGGTCCTGTGGCCCCACCTCGGGCAGGAGCCTCCCGGGCTCACCCTCCTCCTGGCCTTCCTGTGCTCACCTCCGTGTTCCTGACATCAGCCCTGAGTTTCTGGGTCCTCAGTGGCCATTTATGGTGAGTTTTCAGCCTCATTTGAAGATAAGAGTTTTTATAATGACAGGTCATCAGTGGTGAATTCTCAAGGAGAGGGCATTGGGCTAAGCCAGTGAGATACTCTCTTGCCCTCATGTGCTCAAGAACAGCATGTCTGGTCTGGTTCTGGGGCCCATCCCTATGTGTTTCACTTGCTTCATGGAGATTTCCAGAACAGATATAGGAGGGGCCAGGAACACTGGGCTCTGGGTATGCAGTGAAATATTGAGCTCCTGGGTGACAGCTCTGAACACCTGGGGGAGGCTCCCTGCAGAGTCTTTGAGCATCTGCCGCCCCCATGATGGGCCCAGGGCCTCAGGGGCCCACAGCTGGGTGCGTTCCCCTGGGGGTTGCCGAGGCTGATGGGTGACAGTGAGCCAGGCAGTTGCCCTTTTCCCTGGTGCTGGGTGACCCGGGCTGAGCCAGTCCAGGACAGGTTTGTCCAAGGGGACAGAGGCCCTCATGTCAGGGAAGGCCCAGAGGGGCCTGGGCGGGACTAGGGCTCCCAGGGGATGTAAAAGGGGCCCCAGTGCAGGCAGACCTGCCCTCCCTGACCGCAGCACCATGGCCTTGCTCTGGCTTCTCTCCTGCTTCACCCTGATTGGGACCAACTTTGGTGAGTGTTGGTGTCTGAGGAATAACCAGGTCTGGGAGGGGGCTGAAGGGCCCTGAGTCCCAGTGGCTCCATATCAGCCCCCCTCTGGAGAACTGGAGGGTCCTTGGGGGTGAGGCCTTGTGTCCAGCCCAAGGGTGCTTTGAGTCCCTCTCCTGGTCCCTTGGCCTCAGTGTAGATAGTTAGCCTGACTTTGCAGGAGGAAAGAGGCCTTTCTGGGCTTTCTGAGACCTCACGTCTGTGCTAGGTGTGGAGCAGAACCTTCTGGGCCTCAAAGGATGGAGCCAGGAAGTGCCTCAGTTGTGGCCCAGAGGGTCAGCTAGGGGGTGGCCAGGAGACTCTCCCTTAGGACTCCTTTTTTGGTGCTCGGCAATTTCTTGAGAAAAAAAGTACAATAGCCAAGTCTCTGTTTTCATTTGAACAATGTTAACATTTTTCCTATTTGCTGTAGGGATTCTCTGACACCCACATGAGCTCAGCAGCTCCCTGCACCCCCCGCATCCTGGGAAGGGGCCTCTGCTGAGCCCCTGCCTGTCACTTCTGTGCAGCTTCACACACTCACTCCCTGTTTATAACCAGAACCAGGGCTCAGTGGGGGAAACTCCTCCCTGTATTTCCTGCCCATCCCTGTCACACCTGCTGGCCCCACTCCTGTGAGATTTCAGGCTCCTCCAGCACAGGGGACCCGGCCCCCCACTCCATTGCTATGAAGCCTCTGCAGGGTGAGCCCCTCACAGCTCCTGCTAGTGGTTTTCTGTTCTGATAAAAAAAGATGAGGAGACGACATGTTTGGAGACACCAGCCTGAGGGAGTGGCCGGGCCATGTCCCTGTCCCCAGGGGCAGGGGCAGGTGCTGCCTGGAGCAAGGCCTGGGGGACCCTGGGGACAGCCTGGCTGGTGGGAGGGGCAGGCCCTGCCCCCCTTTCTTCCTGTGGCCAAGTTCTCACACCCCTGGGAGCTGCTGAGGATCCTGTGTCCTGACCCAGCAAGTGTGTCTGCACATGTCAAGGGCCCTGCGTGTCCTCCTTGCTCTGGACAATTCATGTCATTTATTTTCTGGTGCTTTGATGTGTCATTTTAAATGGACAGATTATTGGAAAAGGAGGGAAGAGGGATCCCTACATCATCCGAGGCAGGCAGGGAGAGCCTTGGTGTGACCTGCCTTGATGTGTCTTCATGATGGGGAATCAACATCCTATTTTATAAATAATTAAGAGATTTAAATGTTGTGCAATGAAGCGTCCTGAAACCCCAGAGAGAGAATCCAACAGTTTAAATTGGTACAGGTCACACTACATCAGGGAAGTGCCAGAGAGGGGATTTCATGTTCTCTTGGGGTTCTCTGTTTTTAGTTCAACTCCTCCTGCCCACATCCATCTTCCGGTGAGCTGTACCTGTGAGGTGGGCGGTGTTTGCTCCCATTTCTGGGGTGAAATGAGCCTGGGAGAGTCAGCGGGGGCTGAGGTCTCCAGAAGGTAGCGGGTGGCAGGGAGGCCTGATTCCTCAGCCTGTTTCTGCTCCTCTGGGCATGGTGACCCGGATGGAGCTGCCTGGCCCTCTGCATGCCTGGGAGGGTGACTGGGCAGCAGGCAGGGGTGTGTCTTCCAGTCTGGATGCAGGGGTGCCAGGAGGGGTAGTGTGGGTGGTGCTGTGCTGGCTGAGGGTCAACCAGGTTTCTGCAGACTGACTAGACCTCCACCCTTTCACCCTCCCCCTGTCACCCCCAGTCTCTGGGGCCCCTGCCAGCGAACCGGAGCTGAGCATTGTACCCAGGATCATCAATGGGCAGGACGCTGTCCCTGGCTCCTGGCCCTGGCATGTGTCTCTTCAGGTGAGGGGAGTCTGCAGGTGAGGGGGGGTCACACTGGGGTACCAGCCCCTGATGTGAGGCTGCTACTACCCAGATTGTTGTGACTGGTGTCCTGCCAGTGTTGACCTTTTCTTCTTCCTACAGTCTCCCACTGGATTCCCCATCTGTGGGGGCTCCCTGATCAACTCGAGCTGGGTGATCACCGCCGCCCACTGCAGAGTCACGTGAGGCCCAGGAAGGGACCTAGGACGAGGGAGGGCTGTGGTTTCCTACTGACCCTTACCCACCTGCTACTTCCAGGACATCCAACTTGGTTATGGCTGGGCAGTATGACCGACGCTCATTTAAGGATGATATCCAGCTAATAAAGATTTCCAAGGTATTTTAGATCCTGGTGGACTAGCCCTGGAGGTGGATGAGTCTTCGGGGGTGGGGCAGAGGAGAAGACACTTTAACTGCAAAAACAGGGGTCAGCAGATGGGGCCCTGCTGTTCTTCTGGCCTCTCTTGATCTTTGTCCACTGACTGGGCCCCTGCCTCATCTCCTTGTCCTGGTCCTCGCCACAGATTTTTAGGTACCCCAAGTTCAAGTACAGTAAAGTGTTCAATGACATCGCCCTGCTGAAGCTGGTTGTACCCTTCCACTTCTCCAAGACAGTGTCCCCCATTGTTCTGCCCAGTGTTGACGACAAGTTCAGTGCTGGGACCCTGTGCACCATCATGGGCTGGGGGGACACCAACCCCAATGGTGAGTGACCGTGCGTTGCCTCTCAGGACAAGGGTCTGAGGCTGGGTTTCTAGAGCAGCAGGAAGGACCCGTAGGGCTCTGCTTTGTGGATCTGTCCAAATGTGAGCAGTGTCATGAATGTGTCAGCTGCTTGACTGCACCCTCTTAGTGAAAACCTAGCAAACCTGCACGGACACAAGGTCCATGAGGTCCTTGAACTGTCAGTTTCTGTAGACACAGCTCAGTCCCAGCAGGCCCTGCCCCGCTCACCACCTGCAGTCAGTCCTTGGTACCCCCATGCGTGGTGGGCAGGTGTAGCCACCATCCATGCTTGACTGGGGGTCAGGAGTCCAGGGCAACATTGGGGACCCTGAGAGTCCAGCCCGGGGTCCCCTCTCTGGGGCTGCCTCTGCCTCATGGTCTCCTCCATCATCCAGGGCTACCTGGCTGGTCCTTCCATAAGACAGCAACCACCAGGAAGGGGAAGCTCCCTCCCTACCAGCCCCAGAGTGGGGTTTCTAGTCAGAAGGATGTCAGTTCCCTCCTCCGGGAAGAAGCTGCTGCCCTTGTGCCCCCCACTCCTAGGCTGGCAGAGCCCAGGGCTTGTGGCATCAACTATGCTTGCAGCAAAGTCAGCCCGGCCTGGGGTGGAATGAGAAGGAATCCACCCCTTTGACACTTCTAAGATCCAAAGAGGTGATGGGCTTTGATCCTGCACCCTGTTGCTGGCGTAGCAAGAGGGGGGCCAGGGAATGGCAGCTCTTAGGGGCCTAGTATCTTCTAACTAAGTTCTGTTATGAAGAAGGGGGGGGCGTCCTCATTTGTCTATCTGTCTTCACAGTCAGCGAGGTGCCTGAGAAGCTGCAGGAAGCCAGCATGCCCCTCCTGTCTACGGCCGAGTGCAAGAAATACTTGGGCGAGCTTTACAAGGACACCATGATCTGTGCTGGGGCCAATGGCGTCTGCAACTATGAAGTACGTGTTGCTCCAACCCAGTCACTAATGATTGTTCCCCCAAGCTGGGCTGGAGGAGTTCTCCTTGCCCCAGGTCCCATTACACTATTTCTTGATTGTGCTCAGGGAAGCCAGGACCAGCACTTACACACGCCTGCCACATGTATGTGCAGGCACCAGAGTGTCCTGCAGGGTCTATTTGGTCTCACACTGCCCCTGGGCTAGGTACTTCCAGATTTTCAGATCTCGGTCCAACCGCCCCTCTGTAAACACCCATAGCAAGGGCCAGAGCTGGGCTGCCGTTTGAAATGGAGTTTTTCTGCTCTCATACTGGGATCACCTGGTATTTCTCTGGGTCAGGTTGGGGCACACTGCCCCCCTTTCAGTCTTGCAGGCAGGTTCCTTCTCCTCCCACAGGGTGACTCTGGTGGCTCCTTGGCCTGCAAGATGAATGGACGCTGGATCCTGGTGGGCATCGTGTCCCTGCTCAGTGATGTCTGCCCCACTAAGGATCCTGTGGTGGCCACTCGTGTCTCTAAATTCATGCCCTGGGTTCAGAAGATCCTGGCTCACAACTGAGCCCTGAACCTCCCATTCCATTGTCCTTTATCCCCAATAAAATCCTCTGTACAGTTGCCCTTACTGCTTGTGTGTCTGTGACCTGGGGGAGGTGGCTGCAGTGTCCCTGGCACCCACAAGCAGGTGGTGTGACCCTCCCTTTCCAGGCTGCAGAGTCCCAGCAGCCCCTGTTTCTCAGGGAGCTGAGGCCTTTGGGTCTGGGCCTCCCTGCTCAGGAGGCCGCTGGGGTAGAGTCCAGGACCACCTGCTGCAGCCTCATTTCTCAGCCTGGTCTGCTCCTTTGATAACTGGGTTGGCCCAGGGAGCTTTGTGGAGGGCAGGGGTGCTCCAGGCCAGGCCATGCGGTCCTACTCCCAGCAGGGTGGGCCCTGGGACCAAGAGGGCACCCAGGCAGGCTTGTCCCTCCCCACATGCTCCAGGCACCTTTTTCTGCCTTGAGCCCCCTGCAACCCCACCACAGCCCATCCATGCAGTCCCCACCCTTCCTGCCTCTACCCAGGTCCTGCTCACTCACTCTGAACTCAGTAGCTGGGAGAGTTTCCTTCCAGGGCAACAGGCAGACACCCTGTTCTCGCAGGGAGTGAGCAAAAATTTTTCTTTGAATCCATTATTTTTCTTCAAGTTGGCAGCTGAAACTGAGACTTGGTCAGACTCATGTCAGTCCCACAGCCAGGCTGCAGGGGGCTGAGCTCCTGCATGGAGGGGTCAGGGCTGCTTTCTCTCCCTGTGAGCATCAGACTTTGATGCCTGAGGGCTGGACCGTCATTCTAGTTGGGCTTGTAAATGGGGGCAAGTCAATGGCTCTTTTTCAGTTACTATGAGGAGACTTTTCATAGATGTGTCCCCATCGGCCCCTAGTGACCCTGCACAGTGTATAGAACATGCAGGGAAGCCACTTCTGTTCATGCACTTCCCTTATCGATTTTTAAGATCATGAACTTGTTTTCTTTCATCCTTCAAGGAGATGCAATTTGTTTTGATTTTGTGTTTTAGAATTGCTATAAACTCTGGGTTAAAAGCATTCTTTCAATCCATGGTATTTATCCTTTGAAGCTGTAAGTCCCCCCTGTGACCTTTTTGGCTCTGGCACATTTGATGTGGCCACGTGGGTTCCGAGCTTCCTTGCTATCTGGTCTGACAAGATTCCCAGATCCGTAATCAGCTGTTTCTCCAAACACCCCTGGATTCTTGGCATTGAAAAGGTATTTCAAACCCAAAGCCTGAGTCTAGGGGTTGCTTTTAACGGTATATTGGTCATTGTCTAAACCTTTTCGGTAGCTAAAGGCAAGAATAATTTACATTATTTTTATGATTAAACATCTCATGAGTTCAGGGTGACTTTTCACCTCCATCCGGGGATTGAAGGGTGTTGTACCTGCTACTGGAGTACTCTGGCATAGCTTGAATTCTACATCAAGAATTCTCATGGTCACAGACACAGGATTAATGGTTTGAAAATATGCCATAGTTCCGTATTGCTTTGAGAGGTGACGTTGATATCAACATTCATGAAACATTAATGAAAGCAGGTAAAATTTTTGCTGATCTCCCTATTTTTAAGTATCACCCTCACATCTGCACAGCGCCCTGACATGTCTGTGCTCCCTCCTGTGTCTCGCTGGCTCAAGCCTTTGTGTTTCTGAGGTCAGACCTGTCCTCATGTCCTTGTCTCTGTGGCCCGTGGAAGCCTGAAGCTCCTCCTCTGTGCGTGTCTCAGGAAAGGCCACAGGATCCTGTCTTTTTGATCTGTTATAATATTTCTTTGAAGAAAAATATTCAAGAACTATTTTCAAATATTGTCAATTAGAATCTTTCCCCTTTTTTTGTGGAGTTTTAGAAGCTCTTTTTACATCTGGATTCTTAATCCTTATCAGAATATTTGCATGTGGGCCTCCACGGTGACCTAGGGGATAAGTCGCAGCACTACCACAGCTGCGGCCCATGGTGATGGCCTGAGTTTGTTCCCTGCTGACCCACACGGCGCAGCAGACCTCTCCTGTCTCCCCTTGCTCCCCTCAGCAGAGTATCTCAATAGATCCACCTGTTCTGCTCCCCACACTGTCTCTGGTGAATGCTCTCATCCCCCACGCCCACCTCTGGCCTACACCCCAGTTCTTCTATGCAAAAATAAATAAAATATTTTAAAAAGAATTTTTGCATATATTTCTTCCTTTTGTTTTCTGTGTGAGTCCTGCATTGATATATGTATAGATGCTCAGAAATTTTAAATATTAATTGTCCATTCATATTCTTCTTCTTTTGTTACTTATGCTTTGATGTCATAAGACCTTTGAGCAGAATTGTTACCAGTGTGGGTGGCACCGACATCTTAACCATAGTCAGTCTTCCTGTCCATGGACGTGGAAGTCTTTCCGTTCATTTAGCCTTTCTTTTCTTCTTTCTTTTTTTTTTTTCATACACAATTATTTGCACGGAGGTAGCAATGGTTATCTACACTGTATACATTTTAGGGCTGTAGGGTCACCATCTTTAGATGAATGGTAACACTCTTTGCCACTATCAGAGCTCCAGGAGCTACTGCCATGGTCTACTTGGCCCCTGATTCCACCTTCCCTTCTCCTCCCCGCATCACCTTCTAGCTTCACTTCTGTCCTCAGCTTTCAAGGGTTTGCCGTGGTTGGTCTGAAATCTCTGTGTCCAGTGGCCTCTGTACAATGTGTGGTTTCTGGGGGAGTCCCGAGGGCCCAGGGTCCCCATGGTCTGGGCTGTGTGTGCAGCGTCCACAGTCCTGGGAGCCGCGTCCTGCAGCACAGGGGAGAGGCCAGTGGCACCTGGGCCTGAGCTCAGGAGTGTGAGGGGGAGCCAGACCCGCAGCTCCTCACTGCCCTCCCCCTGCACCTGCTCAGGCCAGAGGACCCCACCCAGAGCCCCAGGGGTGGCTGGGAGGGGGCCTGGTGGGTCTCCCTGTCCTCCTGGGCTCCTGCCCACACTGAGTTTCTGCACCTGTCCTGTTGCCCAGGTCACCTGTCTGCCCTGGGAGGGCAGGGCGGCCTCTGCTGCCCCAAAGCACAGGAGCTGGTGAGACCCTGGCCCAATTCCAAGCCCATTAGGAACCAATTAAGGAGCGATGAAGATGAGGCTCAGGGCAGTTTTCACAAACCTTCCAGGTGATTCCTGTGAGTGATCACGTTGAAAGTCCCTGAGCTGGAGTCAGAACTCCTTGCCTGCTTGAGGGTGAGGAGGCCAGGCCTCCCCCTGGGTGGAGGGACCCCTGAGGGCCACTAAAGGGAGATGTGTCCTCTCAACCGTGGCCACCAGGGGGCAGTGTTATCCCTGGACAGCTACCCAAGGCCAAGGAGCCAGCCCAGGAGCCTCTGAGCCAGCTCTGGAAAGAGCTGTCAGGTAGGACAATGGGCCCTGGTTGTATTGCCCTGGAAGGCAGGGCAGTGTTAGTTTAGGCTTGAGGTGGGTATGGGGCATTTACCTGCTTGCTGCCAAACCCACATTCCTGCCTCCTGTCGACACAAGGTCTGAGGTGTCTTTTGTGTAAATATGTCACCATTTTTACTTCATGACTTCTGCTCCCATCTTTGATTGTTCCTCCTGGGTGTCATCTCTGGGGAGGAGACCAGGGCACATCCAGCAGTGAACTTCTGGGAGCCCATGACGTCAGAGGTGGTCTCCACTCCTGTGATGAGTGGGGCTTGCCTGGGATGATGCCTTCTTGAAATGTCCCCCTCCCTTGGGTGAACCCTGCCATGTCCATATCCAGTTGAGCTTCTTCTCTTGGGTGAGGTGGGCTGACGATGGATCTGAGGCGTCCCCTGATGGGCTGGTCCTCTCCTTTCCGGTGCTGGGGGAAGTTAGTGTTGAGAGCTCTCTGGGTGATCAGGGCTCAGCTGATCAGTGTGGGGCATTCTAAGGATCCCATTTCAGCAGTTCTGGTCCATCCCTGGGGGCAGAGGACAAATTTCGCAGCACAGTCCCTGTAACCCTGTGGCCTTAGCACCCGCTGGTGGTAATATTTGATGGACAGAAGATAAGGAGAGTGTTGTCATTTTGACACATCTTAGCAAGGGCCTATTATCTGCATGGGGATTCAAGTCTCCTGCCCCCAGGCAAACAAGAGCTTTGGAACTATCCTTGCTCCCCCCTGGTGATGCTGGTTGTGCCTTGCTGTCCAGAGCATGTCTGTGGGATGTTGGGAGGAGGCGCTTCCTCTCCCTTCTAGGTCCACGTGTTGCAAATAATTTGACACAAGAGAGGTCAACATATACGGGCCTTAGAGTGGAGCCCACTCTTGGCCCCTGCAGTGAAGGTGTGGGTCTCTAGAAAGGGAAATCAGAAGGGAAATTTCCCTTCAGAAGGAGGGAAATCAGAATTGAAAACTTGTAATTTTCAGGAACAGGATGGTGCAGGGCTCATGTGCATATGCCCAGGACAGCCCTTGCAGCCCTGCCTGGTGAGGATGCTGAAGACTGTTCCTCTCAGATCACCGGGACCTCCTGCTTTGAGGAAGGTGATAGTAAATTAGGCAAAGCCCATCTTGCAACTTCTGTCTCTTAAGGAAGCTCCTCTTAGGCTTGTCCCAGGCTCCCCGTGGGCAGGCCACAGCTCTCCCCTGGGAGCTTATCTCTGAATGTGACTGAATAGCGCACGCTCTACCATCCTGAGAGTTTCCCTCTTTGGCCACCCATGCCTGCCATGGGTTGGTCCCCAGGGAGATGGACATTGGTTCCTGTAGCCTGTTTCTTGAGGGTGGGACTGCCAGGTGCCTGTGGGTGGCCTTCAGTCACAGGATAACCAATGCTTTTTGGGAATCACTGCTCACTTCTGTGTTATCAGTTAAAAATCACTGCAGGTGTTCATGAGATAACTCTAAAGGTATCTGCATCCGGGAGGAAACAGAAATATCTTGTTAAGCACTAAGCAGCCCATCACCATGGCCTGAGGAATGTGACCCATGTAGTCTAAACTGAGAGGTTAAAGGTCAGGGAAGAGCTGGGTCAATCTCCTAGACTCAGGCCAACCACAAAATC